GATCCTGTCAATCCTGTCAGTTGGAAGGAGGAAGCCCGAGTAGATCAGTACCGTACCGTTATGAGCAGGAGGGGTTTGATAACACATTACTTATAATGCCACCCATTTCTGATCCAGGCAGAGAGACTAGGGAGGTTTCCACTATCACAAAGGCGGGATGAATAATTCCGAGCCACGTTGTGTGATTGCTGCTTGAATTTTCACATGGGAATTTAGTACAAGGAAAGTAGGTCACAGGGGTGTCGGAGTGTTGCCCATGCAGATGGGCCTCCTTCCACCAGGTGTTTAAAGAGTGCTCCATCTCCAACTCAGCCTCACAACTCAACCTGTTCTTTGCCTTCTGCTTTTTGTTATTAATAGCTAACCTCCCACCTCTAAATCTTTGCCAATCATTAACTCACACATTGTGTCTGCCCAGCCAGAGGCAAACCTCACGCATTCCAAAGGGCCACACCTGGGCATTCAGGAGAGTTAATTTCTAAGAAAGTAGGAGGCCAAGATGCTTGGAAGCCACACCTGTTAAGGAATGTCTTTCCATGGATCTCAAATCGGGGCAAGGTTTCTTTGCATCCATCCATCTTTGCATTCTTGAGATAGATGGGGAGAAAATTCAACAAAGGGAAAGTGTAGTGTAATGTTAAGGGGTTCTGCTAGGATCGGGAAGATCCCATTTACGTCTTCACTCAGCTATGGAAGTTTATAGGGTCCTTTGCCTGAGTTACTATTTCTGTGTTCACTGAATTATTATTGTATGAATGTCTACGGCAGTGGTTCTCAACCTTTTTAATGCCGCGACCCCCAACCGGTTGTAAGTCAAGGACTATTCAACCGGTTGTAAGTCGAGGACTATTCAACCGGTTGTAAGTCAAGGACTACTCAACTGGTGCAGCACGGTTTGCAGAATGGGACTTTTGGCGGGCTCAGCAGGGCAGAGACAGCCTGGACAATTCCTACTGGCTTTTGAAAGCCAATAGAATTAGACTCTATTCAAGAGAGTCTATTCTATTGGCTTTCAAAAGCCAATAGAATAAAAGGGAGTAGCACAGCTAAGGAAAAGGGGGGAAAAATGGCGGACTGCGTTGTTTGGCGACCTCCGTGAAATGGTTGTTCGACCCCAAATGCAGTCCCAACCCACAGGTTGAGAACCACTGGTCTACGGAGATTGTCAACCATCCAGGTCATGGTTGTCCCAAAAGTGCTTTTTCAAAAGGCACCTGGACTTTCTTTGCTTTTTCTTGATGTTTCACTTCTCATCCAAGAAGCAACTTCAATTCTGACTGAATGATGGGGAATGGAAGGATTCTTATTGCTTGCTATCATCTGGTTGTTAGTACTTTGAGGTGTTGTTTCCCCCCATCTCTGTTGAGAGAGGACTGTTCAGTTTTAACACAGATGGCCTCTTTTACCTCTTTTTCAAACCAGAGGTTCTCTCTGTCCAAAATGTGGATGGAGGATGGGACCGTAAATTAAAATGCGTTGAGCTTCTGGAGGATAAAAATCCAGCTAACAATAATTGCTATCAGTGTCAATTTCAGAAGGGCAATAAAAAAACAGTCGTTCTAGATATATTGGATGGCTTGCAATTATTCAGAGGGGAGACTTTTTACATATTCAATTGCTCCCTTATTTTTTTACTTTAAATATCTGAGGGTTAAGCTTCACTGTTGAAAACAATTTGTGATATATCTCTCTGGGAAAGACGGATGCTGTTACAGAATGCCCCATTATACTTTCTCAGAAAAGCATTGGAATATGAGACATAGGAAATCATTAAATGATCAAGGAACATTGTATTAGAATTACCAGCAGAGTTCCCAAAATCTTGCCTTAAAACTTAGGAAACAATTATTATTGTTGATCATCGCACAGTCAGCCAGATGTTCAGACTGGATTTGGCATTTTGTCTACTTATCGAGTCCTTACCCAGGACCTGGGATGGGCAGATGTAGATGTTTGATGGTATTACAGATATCGTCGCAGGATGGAAGCAGTTCCTAATAAGGCCGCCTTTTGCAATTGACTAATAGCGAATTTGTCAATGCCAATTGTGTTCAAGTGGTGCTTCAGTTGTTTTGGGATTGCACCCAAGGAGCCTATGACTATTGGCACCATCCTTGCTTGCTTTTGCCACAGTCTTTCTATTTCTATTTGTAGGTCTTTGTATTTTGTTATCTTCTCCAGTTCTTTCTCTTCTATTCTGCTATCTTCAGGCACTGCCACGTCCACTATCCAGACTTTTTTGTCTTTCTTATCGACAATTGTTAAGTCTGGGGTGTTATGTTGCAGGTGCTTGTCTATTTGAATTCTGAAGTCCCAGAGCAGTTTAATTTTATCATATTCATTATTATTATTATTATTATTTTAAAAAAATGTGATTCTAACAATATGCAGAGTATATTGGACACATCGCAAGAATGATGGGTAGAGCTTTTAGCCAGATCTTGGCCCAATCTCCTCTGAGCCGTGGTGGTGTGGTGGTTAAAATGCAGTATCACAGGCTAACTCTGCCCACTGCCAGATGTTCGATCCTGACCAACTCAAGGTTGACTCAGCCTTCCATCCTTGTGAGGTCGGTAAAATGAGGACCCAGATTGTTGGGGGCAATATATAAACCACTTAGAGAATGCTGTAAAGTACTATAAAACGGTATATGTCTATTGCTATTGCTACATTTTAGGATTGATGCACTGGAGTTTACTGTCAGCATTTGAGAGTTCCTGTGCAGCTGTAGTTAGATGTGGCATAGTGCCAGCTGCTCTCAGAACCTGACTAGACTGCTACTAATGTTTGTTGTGACCTAGTTGGACTAGTAATGGGCCCCCAGGGCATGAGGGGTGCGCAGGATTATCAAGGCGTGTCATTACATGCAAGGCCTGACTGAATGTATCGGAAAACTGGCAGAGATATATGAGTTACAATCAGAAAATGCTTTGTCCTATGGACGACTTAGAAACCTTGGCAAGCCACTCTGTGGAGCCAGATGTTGCCATCCTTGGGAAACATAATCAAGAATGTATCTTTTCATACAGGTCTTTCTTTCTTTTTTAACCCTTCCTGGTTCCCAGCTCTGGGATTTTGTTCTGCTGTGATTTGTAGAGTAGGCTATACAAAGTAAAATCCTCTTCTTAAGCTACCTTTATCTCTCTGGCTTAGGTATACGTGTGTGCGTCTGTTTTTACAACCGCACAAACATGCACATATATTTTTATTTGTACTATGACAACAACAGGGTTGGGATTTTGGTTTTTTTTTTTTTTTTTTTTGCCTTTGAGTCAGATTTTGGAAGTTTGCCCTTGCCTCCTCCTTCCTAGGAGAAGAGAGTGACTAAGCTAGCTTTGTGTCTAAGGCAGGACTAGAACTCACCACGTCCCGGTTTCTAGCCTGGCGCCTTAATCATGCCACCAAATTCATTATACAGTACACATGATGCTAAATCATACAAATAATCATTGAAATGTATGGATCAGATACGTGCATTTGAAGATGATTTGCCCAAGGCTTTGTATCAGTCCAACATTTTTACTCTTAGATCTCAATGCACAGGACTATCCATCCTCAGCAAAATCTGAAATTCAGCATGACACGAGTTGAGCTGCACTAGCAGGAGTTGAGCCGCAATCAGTTAAATCAGTTTTTCATATCTATTCTGACTGATAGTGACTCTTTCCAATATTTAGATGAATTAGTTAAAATTAGTTAGACTGGATTTAGACTTTTCTACAATACATATCAAATATAGAACTAATCTATATCTATACTGATCATTAGAACTAATCAAGGATCCATAATTGAGTGGAACTCAAGACTGTAGAGTGTGTTCTTCCAATTTACAACAATGATTCTGAGTATATTTACTAATGAAATCTTCACTGCATCCCCAGATTTACTTTCCAGAAAACAGAACTAGGCCCATGCATTTATTTGTTTGTTTGTTTGTTTATTATTAATCCACACAGAGATAATTCTGGCCGGCTCACAACTTTTTAAAATACAATGCATAATGAAAATCCAACCCCCCACCCCACCCCATGGCAGCAACAACATAATTAGATCAGTAACTTAATCAGTTCCATCTCCAGATGTGGTTCCCAGACCCACTCAGAAAACCACGTTTTTAGGGCCTTTCAGAAAAGGAATAGGGTGGGGGCCAACCTTACCTTGAGAGGAATGATGTTCCATAGAGAAAGGGCCACTTCTAAGAAGGCGCCTTTTCATGGCTCTACTACAGGGGTCTTCAAACTTGGCCCTTTTGTGACTTGTGGATTTCAACTCCCAAAATTCCTCAGCCAGGCATGCTAGCTGAGGAATTCTGGGAATTGAAGTCATAGAAGGGCCAAGTTTGAAGACCCCTGCTCTACTAGATAAGAATGCCTAATTGATAGGACCTGTAACATACCCTTCCTTCCCATCCTGGTGGGCCAAGTGGATATAATAGAGGACTGGCGCTGTTTCAGATAGCCTGGCCCCAACCATGTGGGGCTTTAAAGGTGATAAACCAGCACCTTGAATTGTACCTGGAAGCAGACTGACAACCAGTGCAATTCAGGCAAAAGGAAAATTGTCCTGAATCTAAGCAGACCAGTAATCCCGCAAAAAAGGAAGAATTCAAGCTTCCCAGCTTGTCCCTGCTGCCACTCCAGATACACAAACAACCTCTGTCCCAAATGGCTTCTTTTCGGCAAGCAACAGGTATGCCCCAAAGCTAGGAGAAATTTGGCAAGCTTACCCAGTCACAAGTTTAATGTGCGACCAACTAATTGCATCCACCTAGGGCAAGGGTTTCCAAACTTGGCAACTTTAAGACTTGTGAACTTCAATTTCCAGAATTCTGGGTGAGGAATTCTGGGAGTTAAAGTCCACAAGTCTTAAAGCCACCAAATTTGGAGAGCCCTGACCTATGGCATAACTAGCAAACAGGTGTCAAGACAGCTCATTCACAAAATATATGCTTTTAGCATTTAGTCCAGACCAACAAGGACGTGCCCTGTGTCAACACTTACCCCAGAGAATCAAGTAGTAGAGCAGTACCACTGGCATGGCAGAGAATTTTAACATTTCAACCTGCAGGTTTAAAAAAAAAAAAGCAGAAAATTAAAATCCTGACTTTTCCTGTCTGCCATATCTAAGAAAGGGTTAGGGACAGGGACTTATATAATGGCAGAAGAGCTGGAATTCAGTTTATTAATTAATAACTAATTAAACTAATTAAGGAAATTTTTAAGCCGTACAGAGTCACTTGACAGTGAGATGGGCAACAAATACCTTTAATTCATAAATAGATGAATACATAAATTTAGAATATTTGGGTCAAATTTTCCTCTCCTGGCAAAAATTATAGAGAAGAACGGCACATATGTATTTGTTTTGTTGTTAAATAAAAATTCATTTAAAACTTTTAACTGCATGAAATACAGCACAACATTTATACTTTATGAAAGCATGTAAGAGTTTACTACAGGGGTGTCAAAGTCGCAACGTCATGTGACGTGTCATGATGTATCGCGACTTTTTTTCCATTGCCAGCAATGGGGCGGGCGCAGTTTTGGCATGATGCATCCGGCCCACAAGCCGGCAGTTTGACATCCCTGATGTACTACATGACATGTTTATTAAATTAAAACAGCAATTCTAAGCATGTTTACTCAAGAGATCCAACCTGTTCAGTGGAGTTTATGCACAAGTTACACACACCTAAGATAGCAAAATAAGCTTTTGTTTCATAATATCCAAATGGAAAGATGCAAATTTCTCCTCTTGTTAATGTTTTTTTGGTTATCTTCTTCTTAGTTTTTGCCATTTAGCAAAATAGGAGGATATAAAATGTATTATACAAATATTAGAATTCAGTTTTGCAAAGGAAAATTCAATTGTGGTCTACAGTTTGCAGTATCATCAGCCAGTGCTTAGCCAATTCTAAAAAAACAAATCCTCTGAAGGCAAAAGAGAGAGAGATTTTTTTTCTAGGAGTTTTTCCTTCCTTCCTTCTTCACATTTTAGGGAGGGGGGTTCAACCCTGAGTTACCTAAACTCTGTATTATTTGGTGGGGGGAGGGGGATAGTAGCTCATACAGGCAGCACATGAAAATCCTCACAGTAGGATTTTCAGGGCAACCACGAGTAAAGTAGCAAAGAATATGTGGTTTGGTTTTTTTTTTCTCATTCAGAAAAATTAAAATGTGCATCTGTTTAGACTGAGCTGAAGCGACTTTATTTCAGTTGCCGATCACCTCAACTCTTTAGAGAGACGTGCCCATAAATTAGTATATAAGTCTACTCAGGGAGAAAAATGAAGATAAATTTTATGTGACAAAGGAAAAAGTTGAGAGGAGATGGAAGGTAGAAAGAGAAGGGTCCAGATGGATGGAAGTAAGAAAAAGAAAGAAAGAAAGAAAGAAAGAAAGAAAGAAAGAAAGAAAGAAAGAAAGAAAGAAAGAAAGAGAAAGAGAGAGAGAGAGGGAGGGAGGGAGGGAGAGAGGGAGAGGGAGAGGGAGAGGAAGGAAGGAAGGAAGGAAGGAAGAAAGGAAGGAAGGAAAGAAAGAAAGAAAGGACAGAGAAAGGGAGGGAGGGAGGGAGGGAAGGGTATGAGAAGGAAACACAGTGTGAGAACTTATGGGAGAGTTTGTGCATGGGTGAAAAGGTATCAGTCGTCCTTCTTTCTGGGTGAGCCACAGATCTCAGCCTGTATTTCTCACACCATATGAACCACCCTGTAACAATGACATTAGAAAAATCCAGCTCTAGTTAATATGCCATTCTCATCCGATACACACATGTTGCAAAATAAACATCCCAAACAACCGCATTAGCATTAAAATGTTACTCTTTCTAGCCTGGGAATAAATTGACCAGGAGGGAAATCACTGTGGGGCGGAACAAGCCTACCCCACGGTGCCAGCCAGAGAAGCGTGTGGTCCTTCTGCCATCCTGGCTGCCTCCCCCTCCAGGATCTTCTCAGACTCACTTCATGAGGGCCACCATGGCCCTCTCACCTGTTGTTTCGTCTGCTCCTCTGGCCACCAGGATTTAGAGAAGAGCCGAAGAAATTCCTTTCCTCTCCTTCGCCAATAAGGAACTTTCCACTTGTCTGCCGAAATGTCCTAATTCCCCGTTGTCCGGACAGCGTGAGAACTCTGCTGTGCAAACTCAACTGCCGATGGGTAAAAATAATCCAGCTCTTCCCACCCGCCGCTCTCCATGAGGGCAAAGCAGAGCTAGAGGCTGAGTTACATTCAAATGGAGCTGGGACTTTGAAAGGGACTAACGGTCTCTAAGCTACAGGAATGTCGCAGCCTATTCTTTCTGCTCCACGGCACACAAAGTCTGTCTGCTCCGCTCCAGGCACAGGCCCGGCGTTGGCTGTCTGAAAGGAGTGAAAGACAGAGGAATCCCCCATTGAGGAGACGAGAGCAAAACAGGCCCCTGGCTTCATTCCTAAACAGGCCTCACCAGACTTTGGAGGCTTGAGACAGATGCCAAGAAGCCAAGGAGAAATCCTGAAAGGGGGGGAGGGCAGGGAGGGCAGGCTAAAACCTGACCAGTTTGGTGATCCATGATATCCTGAAGGAAGGATTCAGGCTCGCTGTCCTGCCAAGTTTACCAGAAATCTCTTCAGACTTTGGAATACAGATAGTCCTCAACTTACAACGGTTCATTTAGTGGCGGTTCGAAGGTACAACGGCACTGAAAAAAAGTGACTTCTGACCATTTTCCACACTTACGACCATTGCAGAGTCTCCGTGGTCACGGGATCAAATTTCAGACACGTGGCAACTGACTCATATTGACCATGGTTGCCATGTCCCCGGGGTCATGTGATCTGCGACTTTCTGACAGGCAAAGACAAGGGGAAACCACAGTGTAACTAACTGAACATCTGCAGTGATTCACTTAACAACTGTGGCAAGAAAGGTTGCAAAAATGGGACAAAATTCACTTAACAACTGTTTCGCTTAGCAAGCAGAAATGTTGGTTTCAGATTGTGGCTGTCAGTCAAGGGCCACCTGTAGGTAGGGAGTCTGAACACCAAGCTGTTTAGAGAGCAGCTCACTGTTGGGTAATTACACGGCCAAACAAGGTCAAGGCCTCAGTCTTGTGTTTTGGGCAAGAGGTCATGGTCTGAAGGCCAAGGGATTCCCCCCTCAGAGGCCCTGAAAAGTAGAGCACCGTCTGCTTTTGGGGACCCGTGAGGACAAAGGCGTCATTTGTGCCCAGCCTCAACCGGTTCCCTGGGAGCCTGGCGGAGTCAGGCAGGAATGTACTTGTTGTGTCTTGCGCCAAGCTTTCTCATAAAGGTACCAAGAATAGCTTATCCTTCCTCCCCTTCTCGGCTTTGTTCATTCCCCCAGCCGCCCTTCTTCAGTTTTGGTGGGATGCTCTCTTTACACACAGGAGGCAAGGTGAGAAAAAGCCAGTGTTTTCCCCAGAGGCTCCATCAAGGGCTTAGCCAGACAGAAAGCTGTTCTTAGAACAGGGGTTCACAAGCCTTCAAGTGGCCAAGGTTGAGAACCCCTGTCTTAGAAGGAGCTGTGATCCTCTCCATTTTTGCTCTGCAGAAAGGACGGGCAACAGAAGAAGTTTGCAACTGGTAATTCACACAGGCCAAAAACCCTGAGCTCCCACTGACAGACCTCCTGAAGATACAGGACAGGTTTTGGCAGCAAAATGAAATCGCTGGGATAACAGGCAGAACAGAACATGCCCTAACCGCTTGCAAAGATACACCTAGGGTTACAAACTTTCTTGGGTTTCCTTCTTGCCGGGCTGCTGGGCTTCAGTAAGCAAATACAGGCAGTCCTCAACTTACGACCACAACTGAGTGCAAAGTTGACGTTGCTAAGCGAGAAGTGTGTTAAGTGGCTTTTGTCCCATTTTATGACTTTTTCTTGCCACATTTGTTAAGTGAATCACTGCAATTGTTAAGTTAATACCAGGGTGCTTAAGTGAATCTGGCTTCCCCATTGGCTTTGCTTGTCAGATGGTTGGAAAAGGGGATCACTGCTACCATCATAAATGTACGCCGGTTGTCAAGTGTCCGAATTTTGATCACGTGACTTGTGAGCATGCTGCCAAAAAAGCCAACACAGTGCTGGGCTGCATTAACAGAGGGATAGAATCAAGACCACGTGGAGTGTTAATACCACTTTACAATGCCTTGGTAAGGCCACACGTGGAATACTGCATCCAGTTTTGGTCACCATGATGAAAAAAGATGTTGAGACTCTAGAAAGAGGACAGAGAAGAGCAACAAAGATGATTAGAGAACTGGAGGCTAAAACATATAAGGAATGATTGCTGGAATTGGGTATGTCTAGTTTAATGAAGAGAAGGACGAGGGGGGACATGATAGCAGTGTTCCAATATCTCAGGGGCTGCCACAAAGAAGAGGGGGTCAAGCTATTTTCCAAGGTGCCTGAAGGCAGGACAAGGAAGCAAAGGATGGAAACTAATCAAGGAGAGAAGCAACCTAGAACTGAGGAGAAACTTCCTGACAGTTAGAACAATTAACCAGTGGAACAGCCTGCCTCCAGAAGTTGTGAATGCTCCAACACTGGAAGTTTTTAAGAAGAGACTGGACAGCCATGGCTCAGCTTGGAAACCTCTCTCTTTTCCCTCAGCGTGGCTGGCTCAGGAATTCTGGGAGCTGAAGTCCACCAGTCATAAAAGAGCCGAGGTTGCCTACCCGCGGTATAGGGTTTCCTGCCTGAGCAGGGGGTTGGACTAGATGACCTCCAAGGTCCCTTCCAACTTCATTATTATGATTATGATTGTGAAAAATTATCATGTCACTTTTTTCAGTGCCACTGTAACTTTGCATGGTCACTAAATGAACTGTTGTAAGTCGAGGACTACCTGTAACTAGAAATTCAATTGGTGACTTAAAAAAAAAAAAAATCTTCAGCAATGAGATGCGATGCTGAATATTTTTCCATTCTACATGAGGACAAAGAAAAAATGGCAAAAAATGGATAAAGAATATTCAATACCTTGGATTTTTCTCTGGCTATAATTTGATTGCCAAGATGGGCATAACAGTCTCACTTTCACCTTTGAAGAGGCTCAGTTTTATCCGCTGACTCATTCGTGGGTGTATCAGCATTATTAGTGTGCTTCCCGAACAGTTAGAGCTCTGAAATTTAGTATATTGGCATCCCAGACTTTCTGACTAACAGTTGGGAAACAGAAGATTCCAAAATAAGCCAAAGGATTAACTTACTCCCACAAAAGCTAAACAATGGCAAGTTAGTAAAAGAGAAACCTGGAGGGAAATGTAATCATTTCTGCCTCAAAGGGGGAGAGCTAAAAATATAAATTACTAACTTCTCAGAACACTAAAGGGCAAAATATAACCAACATAAGATACTGCATCAACTGGGGAAATACTAAGTGTCCTGGTGCCTTTTATATATTTTGAAGTTGGACTCCAATTAAATCCCAGATAGCATAGCCAAAAGTTGGGGATTCTGGCAGGTCCCAGACTCACATCTCTTTGCTAGGAAACTCCAAAAGAAGGAAATCAATAATTCACTCTTGAGAAAGAAAAAAAAAGAATGCGTTCCCAAACGATTACAAGAAAACATTCATCTAGACTAGAGAATACTGTGCATAGCTAAGAAAATGAATAAGCAGGGATCACCAAACAAATCATACCAGAGTTCGCACTCAAGGTACAAATGACCAAACTCAAATCACCTACAGTATTTTGGACACACAGTGTGAAGACCCAGCTGGGAAAGGTGGAAGGAAAGAGAAGAAGCAGCGTGGTGGATGGACTGAGTTATAGTGACAATAGGTGTGCCATTGATCAAAGGCCTGGAGACTAAAACATACGAAGACTGCAGGACTTGGGTTTGGCTAGTCTAAAGAAAAGAAAAAATGGGGAGACACGATAGCAGTGTTCCAGTATTTGAGGGGCTGCCATAAAGAAGAGGGGGTCCTGTTATTCACCAAAGCACCAGAGGGCAGGACAAGGAACAATGGTTGGAAACTGATCAAAGAGAGAAGCAACCTGGAATTAAAGAGAAACTTCCTGACAGTGAGAACAATTAACCAGTGGAAAGCTTGCCTTCAGAAATCGTAGGCACTCCATCGCTGGAGGTTTTTAAGAAGAGACTGGACAGTCACTTATCTGAAATGGTATAGGTTCTCCTGCTTGAGTAGGGGTCTGGATTAAAAGACCTCCAAGGTCCCTTCCAGTTCCTGTTCTATTCTATTCTATTCTATTCTATTCTATTCTATTCTATTCTATTCTATTCTATTCTATTCTACTCTACTCTATTCTATTCTAAATTGTTAAATTTGAAAATATATTGTTATGGAGAAAATCTATCAGGTAGTCCTCGATTTATGACCACAATTGAGCCCAAAATTTCTGTTGCTAAGCAAGATGTGAGTTTTGCCCCATTTTACAGCCTCTCTTGTCACAGTTGTTAAGTGAATCAGTGTAGTTGTTAAGGTAGTGACATAATTATTAAGTCAATCTGGCTTCTTCATTGACTTTGCTTGTCAGAAAGTCTAAAAAAGTGATCAAATAACCCCAGGACACTGCAACTGTCATAAATATGAGCCAGCTGCCAAGCATCTGAACTTTGATTATGTGACCATGTGAATGCTGCAATGGTTGTAAGTGTAAAAAACCGTCATAAGTCACGGTTTTCAGGACCGTTGTAACTTTGAACGGTCACTAAACAAAAGCTTGTAAGTCAAGGACTACCTATATGTGTATATGACTACTACTACTAATAATAATGATAATAATAATAATAATAATAACAATAATAACAACAATAACAATAATGTTGGAAGGACCTTGGAGGTCATCTAGTCCAACCCCCTGCTCAGGCAGGAAACCCTATACCATTTCAGATAAATGGCTGTCCAGTCTCTTCTTAAAAACTTCCAGTGTTGAAGCATTTACTGCTTCTGGAGGCAGGTTGTTCCACTGGTTAATTGTTCTAACTGTCAGGAAATTTCTCCTTAGTTCTAGGTTGCTTCTCTCTTTGATTAGTTTCCATCTGTTGCTTCTCGTCCTGCCTTCCGGCGCTTTGGAGAATAGCTTGATTCCCTCTTCTTGATAGCACACAATCAATCAATCAATCAATCAATCAAAAAGTCCTATTTTCATATGATCATCTTCCTGCTTTCTTGGAGAAGCCCTGTTTGCAATTGTGGTCCAATTCATGAGTGCAGACCACACTATCTTCTTAAGGTACGTTTTTCTGAACAGTGCTGTGGACAGAATACAAGGTTCTGCCCAACTAAGAAGGGTACAAATAACCTTTATATAGTTGTACAATAAATACTGACTAGTAATGACATCAAACGCCATCTTATTTTTGATAACATGGGTTAGATTTCCTTCTTATAGTGAGAAGAAAACAGTTAATAAAACAGAGGTTGGCATGAACCACTTTTTGTGGTTAGTTACTTCTTAATTCCCATTGAAATGTACAAGCGCTGATTTAAGGTAACTCGTGAGCCAACATCTGCACATGCCTAAGTATGCTATTATGGAGGCTGACTTGAGTTCAGGGGCTTTGGTGATTTGGAGATTTTGGTTCAGGGATTTATTTTGTTCCATCAATACTCTTTTTTCACAATTTATTAAGCAGATGTGGGGTCTGCCAGACTCAGTTTTTGTTCCCCCTTTCACAAATTCACTTAGCATCTGAGAAAGGCTGGCATTTATCTTCCATCAGGAGACCACATTTCTAACCTCAGTTGTGCCTGGCCTAAAATCTTGGGTTATCAGAGTTTCATTTGCACTCTGCTCCCGTTATAATCCATTCCATAACACTAACATTTTCACTGTCCTCTGTGCTTGATCTTGCTTTTCCTTGCTGCAACCAACTGACCTTGAAACTTGTTTCTATTAGGAAACAATATTTGGAGTGGTTCCTTTTTGCACTCAGCTGATCTGGATGCAAATCAGCTCAGCTGCCTAATGTCTCAATGAAAGCACAGGAATTCAGGGTCAATCCAAAGCTGAACAAATGCTATGTGTGGTTAAGAAAACGTGCCTACATTTGCACAATGCATCATTGACCTCTGTCGTCTTCTTTTATCAAAGGAGCATCCCTTAAAGGTTTTAAGAGCATCCCTTAAAAGTCAAAGAGGAGACTACCTGAGGTTTACTGGATGGCCTTGGACCACTCACTTTTCTTCAGCCTAAGCATTTGCATCCTTAGTCTAGAAAACATTCAGCAAAATGGGACTGCTGGCACATGCCCAGGAGCTAAAGCATTAGATATAACTATAGAGCATATCAGAAGAAATATTCCCATAAATTACAGGTAATCCTCAACTTACAACCGTTTGTTTTGTGACCACTCAGAGTTACTGAAAAAAGTGACTTACAATCAATCCTCACACTTACAACCAACCTAGCATTCCCATTCACGTGATTAAAATTTGGGTGCTTGGCAGTCAGCATGTATTTACAACAATTGTAGTGTCCTGGGGGGGGGGGTTATCTGATCACCTTTTGTGATCTTCCCAGCTGGTCTCCGACGAGCAAAATCAACGTGGGGGGGGGGAAGCCCGATTTACTTTAATGACTGCAGGGTTCACTTAAAAACTGCAGTGATTGGCTTAACAACTAAGGCAAAAATGTCGTAAAATTGGGCACAACTCTCTTCTCACCATGCTTACTAGCAGAAATTCTGGTCTTAATTGTGGTTGTAAATTGTGGACTATCCTTACCCATGTGAAGAGAATTCTGCACCAATTTTGCACAATTTATTTTGGTAGGGAGGAGAGCAATGACCTATGCACTGGCTATCTAAACCAGTGGTTCTCAACCTGTGGGTCGGGACCCCATTTGGGGTCGAACGACCATTTCACGGGGTCTCCAAACAACGCAGTCCGCCATTTTTTTCCCCCTTTTCCTTAGCTGTGCTACTCCCTTTTATTCTATTGGCTTTTGAAAGCCAATAGAATAGACTCTCTTGAATAGAGTCTAATTCTATTGTCCAGGCTGTCTCTGCCCTGCTGAGCCCGCCAAAAGTCCCATTCTGCAAACGGTGCTGCACCAGTTGAGTAGTCCTCGACTTACGACCGGTTGAGTAGTCCTCGACTTACGACCGGCTGGGGGTCACGGCATTAAAAAGGTTGAGAACCACTGATCTAAACGATGCTCTTTCTTCAGATTATTCCTCAATCGAGAAATCTCAGCAAGCCTCCTTCCATGTACCTTTCATTATCCGAGGGCTGGAGACTTGATGTATACTAACAACGGAAGCTGAACAGCTTTCTGAATGTGGTGCCAAATACCAGTTTTTGTTCTTCCACAGCAAAAGGAATTCCTGCAGCTTTCTGCAACTGCAGTATACAGTAATCTCTTTGCATTCCCATTCATAATTACGTATCACTGATTACGTATTAACAATTAACATTGCATTAACCCTTTTGCCAGGTTTTTTTTTTTTTTAACATAAAATGGTTTCAGCAAGAATTTTAGGTTTGGAAGGGGATGGTCTGCTTTCTTTTTTGGCAGCCTATCCAGAGATTTAATTTTCACCTGGGCTGCTAACTTCCAAGATCTGAGCTTCAGTGGGAATGACTCCAGTCTTCCTTTACAACCGCAGCTTTTGTTCTGCTTCCTTTTGCTGGGTTAAATTTAATTTATCCCTCCAATCTCAAAAGTATGGATGGAAGACCCATTTTAGCCAGGACGCCGGAGTTGGACATTGACCCATGCTGCCTGTCATCTCCCAATCCCCATCCTGTGTTATAAATTTAAAGTTGCACATTAATAAATAAATTCAGCAGGCCACATCCTTTTTTGCACCTACTGCTTGCAGAACACCAGTCCTCTTTCCTTTATGCCTTTGAGGCATAAGCAAGAGATGAAGCCTGATAGTTCCCATTAGTAGACAAGGAAGCAGGATAGGAGTATCTCAGTCACTCCAGAAGGATTAAAAGTAGAATCTTTTTTGAGAGTCCCCAAGAAGCCAGACTACTCTGGCAAAAGCCTTAGGAGTTGGCTACACTGTCCAAGCTAAAGGACACAAGATGGCTTGCAAAGAAGCTCTCTCATATCCAATCATCCACTCCACAACTTTCCACTACAAAAAAAAAAGAAAGAAAAGAAAATATCTGGGCCAGCCAAGAGGGTGAGGGACCTCATGCCATGGCCAGGTGCCCCCAGGAGCAGGAGAGAGGCAAGGAGAAGGAAAGGCCCAACTCTTACCTGGGAAGAAGACCCCGTTGTGGCTCCAGGCCTCATGCCAATTTGGGGAGCGTGGCCCAGTTGGGGCCCCTCTGCAGTTTGCACGTGCAAGAGCGATTGCCTTAAGCAGTGCAAAGTGCTCTGCCGAGCTGCCTGTTCCTGGAGAAGGGCTCCTTCTTTCAGCAGCTCCTCCTCCCTTCATGCAGTGCCAGGGGACGGGAGGAAGGGAGGGAGGGACCAGCCCTCCTTGGCAGCTGAGCCAAGGTAACGCAACTAGGTAGAGACTCTCCCCGTTTCCGGGAATGGCCTGGTGCCTGACGGGAGGGAAAGGTGATTCCCTGTGTGGTTCTCCAAGGAGCACTGGCTTTTCTGATCCAGCGTACAGGTGTTTGGCCTGAGTCGCACACTGATGGAGAGGGTTATACGTGCTAGCTGGTCCAGCAGAAATCTCTGGATCCTGACACAGAAGTTTTAATTAGTTAGGAGCTACCAAGTCTGGGCTGACAAAATCTAGACGACCCCTGCAAAGAGATACAGAAAACACTCACTTGTTGCTATCATCCGCTGGATTTTCACCGGCCAGGTTTAGGAGTCTGATTGGTGATCAACAACCAGATCTTCACCACTGCGATGTTCATGGTCTTGGGAACGGAGACCTAGCGCTAGTCTACTCTCAGATTTTGAGAGCCATCTCTTTTTCGCAGACGTGTGTGGCAGCCACGCTTTTGCTATGATCAAGAAGTGTAAACTGTAAACCAGCAGAAGATCCTGAAAACCTTTAATGAGATGCAGGATATTTATTTATTCATCCATTGCCAGGAGTTCGATCCTCACCGGCTCAAGGTTGACTTGGCCTTCCAATTCTTCCGAGGTGGGTAAAATGAGGACCCAGATTGTTTGGGGCAATAGGCTGGCTCTGTAAACTGCTTAGAGAAGGCTGTAAAGCACTGTGAAACGGCATATAAGTCTATTTCTATTGTTATAGTATCGTGTGGGCCTTCAAGTGGATGTTTGATGTCTGGTGACTGCCTGAACTAGTCCCTGCAGTTCTCATGGCAAGGTTGCTCAGAAGTACAGGTAGTTCTCGACTTACAACCACAACTGAGCCCAAAATTTCTGTTGTTAAGTGAGACATCTGTTAAGTGAGTTTTGCCCCATTTTACGATCTTTCTTGTCACTGTTGTTAAGTGAATCTGGCTTCCCCAATGATTTTGCTTGTCAAAAGGTTGCAAAAGGTGATCACATGACCTTGGGACACAGCAACGGTCATAAGTATGAACCAGTTGCCAAACATCTGAATTTTGATCACATGAGCATGGGGATGCTGCAAAGGTCATAAGTGTGAAAAATAGTCATAACTCATTTTTTTCCACTGTTGTTGTAACTTTGAACAGTCACTAAATGAACTGTTGTAAGTTGAGGACTATCCGTAGTTTGTCACTGTCTCCTCCTCGGGGCTGAAAGAGAGGGACTGGCCCATGGTCAGTCACCTCTCTTTGTGCCTCAGGCAGGATTAGAACTCAAAATCTTCCAGTTTTTATCCTGCTACCTTAATCACAATGCCCAACTGGCTCTCTATTTTGTTTTTCTTTTCTTCTGTTCAGTCATGACCAGTTCTCCGAGACTGCCTGGACAAGTCCCTACAGTTTTCTTGGCAATGTTTTTCAGAAGTGGTTTGCCATTGCCTCTTTAAAAAAGCATCGAAAAATGCATAAAGCTCAGCGAAAACACAAACCAACACATTAACCCATGCCAGAGCTCCTGAATTAATATCCTGCTCACAATGCTTTGGTTTCAGGCTGGGATTTAGGGCTAAAGAAGGATTGTGGGACTTATAAGATGACTATTAAATTTTCAGATGACATAAAGCTGGGAGAAGTGGATTACGTTTTAGAAGAGAAGATTTTAAAAGATGTAGAACTGGCTTGAACATTGAGCTGAAACAAAGAAGAGAAAATGTAACAGGAAGAAATGTAAAGTTGTGCATCGCAGGAGAGAGAAAAAATGAAAGTGACTAGCACAGGGTGGCTTGGGCAGAGAATGAATGTGTGAAAAGGATCTGGGTGTTCTAGTATATCGTGAGCCAACACTGTGGTGTAGCTGGCCAAGCTCCAAAGCTCCGTTCCTGCAGCCCTGCAAATGACAAATCAAACTCCAGTGGCAAATTATACAGGATGCCTGAATAGCAATAGCATTTAGACGTATATACTGCTTCATAGTGCTTTACAGCACTCTTTGAATGGTTTACAGCAGTGGTGGCGAACCTATGGCACGCGTGCCAGAGGCGGCACTCAGAGCCCTCTCTGTGGGCACGCGCGCCATGCCCCGGAGATGGCAACCATCCCTCTTCAACCAGCTGCCTGCTAACTGGCCAAGGTCCCACATGGGTGTATGCATCCCAGCACCCATACGCCCGCTGGCCTCTGTGTGCAGGGGCCGATGGTGTCAGGCACCAGCTGCCCTGGCCCCTACCTCACCTTTCCCTCTGACAATGGCACCCCCACCCTGCCTTGCCTTGCCTCACCTTACCCCGCAGGACGAGCCTCCTGCCCACCGCCCACCTGCCAGAGACCCCCCTGGATCTCCCCTAACCCTGCCCAGTTCCCACAGACATCCCTCCCCACGAGCAACATCGAGATGATGGCCACCCCTACCCACTCTGCCATGACCACCACAGCCACGCCCACCCAGTGGGCCACACCCACCTGGCACCCGGCAATAAATAAGTAGGTTTTGGGTTGCAGTTTGGGCACTCGGTCTCTAAACGTTTTGCCATCACTGGTTTACAGAGTCAGCGTATTGCTCCCAACAATCTGGGTCCTCATTTTACCAACCTCGGAAGGATGGAAGGCTGAGTCAACCTTGAGTAAGTCAGGATCGAATTCCAGGCTGTGGACAGAGTGCCTCTCTCCCTGAATAACAGACCTGTAGACTTATGGACTTTTTTAAAAGTTTCAAAAACCTGACCGAGGATCTCTTTTTGATCTGCCCCTCAGTTATGCCCATTTTAAGCATTAGAACTGAGGTTCAGAAGGTCTGAGGCCTGCCATCTGGGCAAGTCAGCTGCTTCTACATACCTTAGTTCTTCTCAGCCAACAGCTGGAAATGGCTGGGAGGGATGCACATGCTGACAAGAAGCCAACTCAAGAGTCACCAGAGACAAAAATTGCTGACCTTGAAGAGCAGTGAATGCAGCCACATTTTTAACAGGAATATGAAAAGTACCCTCTGCCCCAACTTCCGCCTTTAATATCTTTGGAGTGTGGGAATTTGCTATTTCATCTGGATGTAGCTATTTCAAGGATTCCTGCTATGATATCCATTGCCCATTTTTCTCTTGGGTGTTACATCAATCACATTTCGGTGTTTTATGTGAGGTTGCTGGCACATCAGGCTCTTTTCTTGAAATGCCTGATGAGGGGGTTGGCCCTTATCTCTCTGCTGGCTTCAGCCCCTACTGGTGGGATAATGAATGAGGCTATAGCTGCCTACAGTTCAGTATCCTTCTGGGGATCATCTTGGAAAATTCTTGATTTCATTATTCACATGCAAATACTCCACATCAGAGATTCTTACTAGCCAGCACCATGGCTCTTTCTGAAGGCTGGTATTTCTTCCCTCCCCTTCTTTATTTTGGAGTAAAAAATTGTATTTTAAAGAACTTATATGCTGCCAGTGAAGGGGTTCCTCATTGAAATGATTTCACAAGAGCTTATTTGGGAAAGGGGGAAAGCTGGATAAGTTATCCACAGAAACATATGGAGAAGGTGATAATACAGGGATCTGAGAGTTGAAATAGAATTGTAGAGATTTATTTATTTATTTTATATGCCCCTTATCTTGTCCAGAGATGAAGATCATTACTGTTAGGCTATAAATTGCTGGAGTGGGTGAAAAGCTTTAATTTTATCAGAACTTGTCTATTTTTTTTAGAGATTGCTAAAGACTTATACAGGTAGCATTTGTATAACAGAATTACAGAGCTGGAAGGGACCTTGGAGGTCTTCTAGTCCAACCCCCTGCTCAAGCAGGAGGCCCTATAACTTTTCAGACAAATGACTGTCCAGTCTCTTCTTAAAAATATGCAGTGTTGGAGTACCCACAACTTCTGGAGGCAGACTGTTCCGCTGATTAATTGTTCTCACTGTCAGGAAATTTCTCCTTACTTCTAGGTTGGATCTCTCCTTGATTAATTCCCATTTCATCCATCCATAATATTTTCTTCATTTATGCAGGGGTGTCAAACTGCCGGCCTGGAGGCCGGTTTCATCATACCGAAGCCACGCCCAGCCCATTGCCAGCAATGCAAAAAAAGTTGTGATATGTTGCGACACGTCACGTGACGTGGCGAGTTTGATACCCGTGATTTACAGACATATGAGTAATGGTATAGATGGAGAGGATCAGCAGGCAGAGCATTTCTGGCAAGGAAGCAAATGAAGGAATGGAGAAGTATGGCCCCTTTATGACTTGTGGACTTCAACTCCCAGAATTCCTGAGCCAGCATGGCTGGCTCAGGAATTCTGGGAGTAGAAGTCCACAAGTCATAAAGGGACCATGGTTCACCACTTCTACCTTACTTGATGGGTGCTTCCATCCAATGAAACCGTCCCATCTTCATGTCGACTCTTATTGTGCCATTGTGATATTATTGTTCATTGTCAAGAACCCTCCAGCCTTTTTTGTGGCAGCTAAGAAGAGGGCATTACTTGTGCCTTTTCCAAGCTAGGTCATCACTGATTGAGCCCTGCTAGTACAGGGAGGTGCTCCCATCATGCTGTGCAAATACACTTCTAAGAGGTGACACAGGTCAGATTCCTTTTTCCATGGATACCAATCAAACACACCCAGAGACAGAGTGATAGCTCTGATTTCATACTGATTTCATTACTGATTTCATTACTGAAAGAGGAGGAGGGTGATTTTCAAGTAGTGCAGGAGGAGAACTGGTCCAGGCCCTCTGTTCCATGCAGCTGTTTTGACTAAAACATGTCCAAATGTAGAGACTCATTCAGCATAACAAGTACAGGTGGTCCCCAACTTACAATCATAACTGAGCCTGGAATTACAATTGTTAGGTCGTGCTGGGTCATCACATGACTGTGTCTGATTTTACAACTTTTTTTGCAGCAGCAGTTGTTAAGTGAACCGATTTTAGCCAGTGGGTGATTTTTATTTCTTTTTTTGTTGTTGTTGCTGGAAACTGGACGTAAATGCCAATTTCCAGCTAAAACACATTGTAAATCAGAGTCATGTGACTGTGGGACGCTGCAATCGGTCATAAATGCAAGCTAGTTTCTGAGTGCCCAAAATGTGATCACATGATCACAGGGAGAGGTGGAACTTCAAATTGGGATCATGAGTTCCTTTTTGGGGGTTGTTTCGTAACTTCAGTCACTAAGCGAATCAGTTGTAAGTTGAGGACTACTTGCAGCTTTGCTGTGGTGGGCAGAAGGCAGCATTAGACAGTCCTGAAGGAACGATCCATCAAGAACTCTTGATCCTCTTCCAACACAGGGTTGAGACACCCTTCCTCGTTCAGGGTGTCTGCTGGGGGATGGCAAGATCCCCTCTGCATCCCGCGCACAAGTGTCAGGAAAATTGCTCCCATGTTTTTCTCTTGCCACTGGAATAGCAGCATGTCCTAGAAGGGTTGATGCCAGGTGATGACATCTGTTTCTTACTCAAAGTAGTGTGGAAGTAGCGGGTTGGCCCTTCAGTCCCATAGGAGTCGTTGAGGTCAGGCGGTTGATTTGTGGCCAGGAGATAGAGGGCTGCATACTGGTGCTGCTTCCCCAAACGATGCATTGCACACAGCTGCTGCTGCCAGCAAGCCACTTGCCGTAGCCTGTGGGTGGTCGCAGGGCGTCCCAGCCAAGGTACCTGAAAAAAGGCAGTGGTGCTTCAGACAATGGCTGTACATCTAGTCCAGAGGTAGGCAACCTTGGCTCTTTTATGACTCGTGGACTTCAACTCCCAGAATTCCTGAGCCAGCATGGCTCAGCTTGGAAACCTCTCCCTTTCCCCTCAGCGTGGCTGGCTCAGGAATTCTGGGAGTTGAAGTCCACCAGTCATAAAAGAGCCAAGGTTGCCTACCCCTGATCTAGTCTAAACAGGGGCATCCTGGATGGGGCTGGGGTAGAATGTGTGGTCAAAAAAGCCAAGAGAGCAGCCAAGACTTTGCGCTCAAAGCCTCCCCCCTTTTTACATGAGTTGCTTAAAATTCACATTAAAAAAGGGTGGGCTTTGAATGTATGGTCCCGGTTGCCAGGTTGACTTTTTTGACCCTCCATGTGGGCAACCTTCCAGAAGCTTGCTCTTAATTTTAGTGAGAGGATGAACACCGTGGGAGACAGTGTAATAATACAGAATGAACGTTCTGTCCTCACAACACATTACTCTGTGTGTGGCTCGACATGCAGCTAAACCCTCTTATCCTTCAATAAACCAGACTGTAAATGTAGATCTTGATACTTTAATAAAGAACACGATAAGGTGAAACAGTGATGCTATGCATGGGATATAGATTTTGTCCTCAGAAGAACACGTGTCACGGACTAAACTGGATTAATCTAGATGCTTCTGTTACCTCAGAATGACACAAAATGGAGTCTGGCTTCTCAGGATACACCTTTTTTGCATAATGCGGGAGGATGGGTGCTCTGTAGGGTCAAACACCAAACAACTAAAGATTTGTGTTTGGCCAACAGGTGGAGCTCAATATACGTTAAAGAACGACAAGAGCAATAAAAATTCACAAACTATATGGGGGAGGCATGACAACTTATCTTTTGTTGTGGGGAAAATAGGAGGGGGTTTGCCACCTTGAGTTATTCATAAAAATAAAAAGGTGGGATATAAACAAACAAACAAATAAATGTGTTACCACACTTGGGATGGTTGCACTAAATCTGTCATGTGCAAAAAATCAGGACCATACATTAAGTTGCATTTCAGAAGATTTATTGATCAAGCCTATGCACAAGAATCTAGTCAACAAAAGTTCAATACTAAGTTGGTACCAGCTAAGGGTCAATGAAATTCAAGAAGGATTGGACTTAGACCCTTTGTGCAAATGTAACAATTTTAAGCTGGTGACTCTACCCCCCCCCAGCTCCGTCTGTTCTTCACCTGTAAAATCTTATGCACTGATTGTATTTAGCAATTGATTAGAATTATATTTTATGCCTAATTGGGTTTTCTTTTATTTATTAAATTTATCTGTCACCAATCTCATTTCAAAACGACTCTGAGTATTTTAATAATGATTTTAGTATAGTTGCATGGTTCTTTTTTATTTCTATTTTTTATTGTTCTTGCTGTTGTTTTAACTGTTGTGAGCCATCCAGAGTCATATATGGCTATCTATACAAATTGGGCAAGCAAACAAATTTAAAAAGATACATTATACAGATAGAGGCCAGGGTTTTCTTTTTCTCTCTTTTTCTTATGGCTTTTTTTAGGGGTTCAGTTTATTAAAATGTTCTCTACCTGAAAATAGCAGAAACTGAATTGACTTTTCGACAATTGGGACCAAAGCAGAGAGTCAGGCATTAACAGTCCAGATCTGAGTGAATATCTTGTGATATCATAAGGACAAAGAAACCTGGTTTGCATAGTCAGGGGTTAACTAGAGGCATAACTATAGTTCCACTTCATGGGCTAGTCCTTGACTTACAACAGTTCATTTAGTGACTATTCAAAGTTACAACAGCACTGAAAAAAGTGATTTATGATTGTCATTCATACCTACGACTATTACTTAAGCATCCCTGTGGTCATGTGATCAAAATTCAGATGCTTGGCAACCAACTCATATTTATGATGGTTACAATGTCCCAGGATCATGCGATCACCTTTTGTGACCTCCTGACAAGCAAAGTCAATGGGGACACCAGATTCACTTTACAATCTTCTTACAAACTTAACAAATATGGGAAGAAAGGTCATAAAATGGGGCAAAACTCACTTACCAACTGTTTTGCTTAGCAATAGAAATGTTGGACTCAATTGTGGTTTGTAAGCCGAGGACTACCTGTATTAAGCAGGACATTTAACCTGGCTTCATTAGAGGGAGATTTGCAATATTAACAGTTGGTGGAGATACCGCCCTCCTCGCTTTGCTGTGGCAGTTATCGCTTATGGTGGACAAGGGAAGTATTGTCCTCACTTCAGCTTAAAGGAAGAGAATCAGACTTCCTGACAATACATACAATTCACTTCAGTTTGGATTTAAACAATGGTGTCTTTCTCTTCAACCACAGGTATTAATTGACATAGCAAAGTCAGGAAGGTATAAACAGGGACTCTGTTAGTGCTGATATTGTCATTGCTTTTTTTTCCCCTCTTGCCAGCTGAAAACTCCAGACCTTCCGCATTTATTATGCCAAGTAAATATATGATTCTGCCATTGATTAACTTGTTTCTTGTTATAGTACTACTATTACTATTACTATTAGTTGGGGATAATGTGAATTATAGTGCCCCACTAAGTGACCACAGTCCAGAGTTGTAATTTTGTTTTTATCTGAGTCTGAAGATTAAAAACCTCAGCAAGGAAAAGCAGAGCCATAAAACGGAACGGAGTGTTTTTTCACCAGAATGAAAAATGAAGCTTAAACTGAGTTATCATACTCTTTTCTAACACAGGGGTCCCCAACCCTTGGTCCACAAACTGATAGTGGTCCATGGTCTGTTGGGATCTTTTTCTGCACAAGAGGTGGGCAAGTGCACAAAGCTCCATTTGTACATAGGACAAGGTTGCGTGGGATAAGTTTGCGTGTGTGAAACCATCCCTACCACAGCCACCTGCTGCCATTGCCACTGCCAGTGCGTGGAGTCAGAAAGGTTAAGGACCACTGTTCTGACTGAAATCACTTGGCTGTTTAAAAATGTGACTTCTGGAATGGACAAATTTCTGTTGGGGAATGGCTTCCATAGGGCATTCTGCAAAAACATACGGGTCCCATAATGTTGGCTTTTAAGTAGTTAGCCAGAACATTAACAGGCAAAACATATTTAACTTCAAGTATAAAATAGTTTGTTATTTATTTCATTTATTAAATTTCTATGCTGCCCATCTGACTAGTACAGCAACTTTGGGCTAATATGCCATTAGTTCCCCATACTTATCCACACACTGCCTGTTCTTTATATGAAATTGTGAGCAAGGCTTTCACTTTACTATGGTTGAGGTACTCTTACAGCAGGGGTTCACAACCCCCGGTCCGTGGACCGGTACCGGGCTGCAGCATGCTAGCAACCGGTCTGCCCAAACCAGCAAAGCCCCATTTGCAGGATCCAGGCAGCACACGAAACCACGCACCCTCCGGTCTGCGGAAAAACCTCTCTCCACGTAATCAGTCCCTGGTGCCCAAAAGGTTGGGGATCTCTGTCTTAGGGCTTCTGTGCATCTGGACTAAAAACAACTGGACTCCAGGCAGCCACTTCTATTACATACAAATTCATTATTCACATCATGACAGAATGACACCTTTCAAGCAACAGGAAGTCTCTGTTCAGGAGAAGCCTGACTTATCATAAATATATACTTGGCAATGAAAAGATTACAGATAGTCCTCGACCATCTGCTTAATGATGTTACAAGGCATTAAAAAATAACTTTATGACCAGCCCTCGCATTTAACAACTGTTGCAGCATCCCCACGATCATGTGATCAAAATTAAGGTGCTTGGCAATTAGCAAGTATCTACAACAATTGCAGCAGCCCAGGATCACGTGATCATCATTTGTGACCTTCCCAGCCAGTTTCCAACAAGCAAAGTCAAGGGGGGGGGGAAAAGCTGGCTTCATTTAATGACTGCATGATTCACTTAGATCGTAAGTGGAGGACTACCTATTCCTAGGCCTTGTTTTCTCACCCCAAGCACCCTTCTCACCTGCTCCGAGAGCGAACGGCCTTTTGAACTTGCTGTAATCTCGTATTGGCACTTGGGTTCTTCGTGAAGGGCCCTCCACACCTCCTCAGCCCCCATATCTATGGGGCAAAGAAAATGATATTTTGCATTCCAACAGATGAGACATGGCAGCATTACACTTGTTACAGTGCTGAAAGGTGGTTAGATCCCTTAGAAGAAAAAGCAGGGACCATCTCACCTTTTCTACACAAAACTTTGAGCAAACTGCCCCTGCTGCATGCCTACCATTTCCAGCAAGCACTCTTCAATATGGGTAGTTCTCGACTTATGGACACAATTGAGCCCAAAGTTTCTGTTGCTAAGCAGGACAATGGTTAAGCTTGCCCCATTTTGCAATCTTTCTTGCCATAGTTGTTAAGTGAATCAGTTGTTAACCTAGTGACACTGTTGTTAAGTGAATCTGGCTTCCCCACTGACTTTGCTTGTCAGAAGGTCGCAAAAGGGGATCACGTGACCCCGGGACTCTGCAACCGTCATAAATATGACTCAGTTGCCAAGTGTCTGAATTTTGATCATGTGACCATGGGGATGCTACAACGGTCGTAAGTGTGAAAAACGGTCATAGGTCACTTTTTTTAATGCCATTGTAACCTTGAATGGTCACTAAACGAACTGTTGTAAGTTGAGTACTCCTTGTAATACTCCCAGATCTGATGGACTACAACTACTGGGATTCTAGGCCAGGGCAGCACCCAAGGTGAAGAAGGTGGTGCTACACCAATGGTTCTCAACCTGTGGGTCGGGACCCCATTTGGGGTCGAACGACCATTTCACGGGGGTCGCCAAACAAGGCTTTCCGCCATTTTTTCCCCCTTTTCTTTGGCCACGCCCCTGGCACCCAGTGACGTATAAGTGGTTGGGGGGTCATCACAACATGGGGAACTGTATTATGGGGTCGCGGCATTAGAAAGGTTGAGAACCACTGGGCTACACAGACCAGGAGAGATTGCTCTTTGAGGCCTGAGCTCAATATGAGGCTCCAGAAGAAAAAGGACCTCATGATCTCCGCCTTACAGACAGTTTTAAGTAAAGAAAAGCCCTGCAAGGAAGAACAGGGCCCTGAGGGAGCTGGAAAGTTCTCCGAAAGGAAAAGCACACCTGCTAGAAGCTGGAACTTTTGCCCAGAGGGCAAAACACTCTCCTGCCTGCCAAAGACTCAGAACCAAGGAAGGTTAAAGTACTGCAGGCAGTGGCGTGCTCCCTTTTATCTCTTTAATTGCATAATATTAGGAAAAAAGCCATCCTATTATTACATTTCTATATTAAGATTAGTTCGCATAGCCTGTCAAGAGAAGGAAAAAGCAAAAGATTTATTGCCATGAAATGCAGGTTTCCTCTAATCCGACACTTCCCAAAGTTCACCAAGTACCACACAAACAAGGTCATGGCCTTGTACTCCAAGCAGATTACATATAGTCCTCCACTTATGACTACAATTGAGACTGGAACTTCCATTGCTAAGCAATGGAGTCACTGAGCCGTACCCAATTTTACAAACTTCTTCCCAGGGTTATTAAGCGAAACACCTCTGTCGTTACACAGAGGTGGTTGTTAAGCGAATCTGGCTTCCCCTATTTACTTTGCTTGATCATGTGACCCTGTGACACCGCAACCACCCTAAATGCACGTTGGTTGCCAATTGCCTGAAGTTTGATCACATGACTTCAGGGATCCTGCGACAGCCCTTAAGGGCCAGGCCTGACCGTAAGTCACTCTTCTCAAGTCTGCCATAACTTTGAGCGATTGTTAAACGAATGGCTTGTAAGTTGAGGAATAGCTGTAATCGGTGATCTTTTGCTTCCATTTTATTATACCCCAAAAGGAATGAAGGAGAAGAGCAAAGAAGGTTCTCTCTGAAACGGGAAATGTCTTACCGATACCAGCCGCCAGCAGGCGCCTCACTCGTGGGCTAATTGGTTTCTTTGTGGTAGGTGGATTCAAAAAATAGGAAGCTTTTTCAGAGCCCAAGAGTCTAGGCAGAAAGAAAAAAAGGCAAGAGAAAGCCACCATAACAAACATGGCTCCTTAAAAGTGATAGGTGCTCCATCACTGGAGGTTTTTAAGAAGAGATTGGACAGCCATTTGTCCAGAATGGTATAGGACAGGGGTAGGCAACCTTGGCTCTTTTATCACTCGTGGACTTCAATTCCCAGAATTCCTGAGCCAGCATGGCTCAGCTTGGAAACCTCTCCCTTTCCCCTCAGCATGGCTGGCTCAGGAATTCTGGGAGTTGAAGTCCATGAGTCATAAAAGAGCCAAGGTTGCCTAGCCCTGTTTATAGGGTCTCCTGATTGGACGTAGGGGGTTGGACTAGAAGACCTCCAAGATCCCTTCCAACTCTGTTATTCTGTATTCTACAACTAACACACTAGCAACCCACTTTGACTGGACCAACTTGCTGTCATCAGTAATCAGATGAATGAACATTTAGCAGGAGAAGAAAGCAGTACTCCAGGCTTCCACTGTCAGCCTACGGAAGAAAAATAGTTGATATAGACATGCAGCAAACTAGTAGAAGAAAGTCATTCTGTCCCTCCTGTACTTGTTCTTTGCAGAAATTTGGTAGGAGATCAAGATTATGCCCTGGATACCAAGGAAAAGGGTGTCATTCAGTAAAACAAACAGGAGCTGCATCATTCCAGATTTTTGGGGGAGCAGATGAAGCTAACTGGAAGTCAAAGGAACATGAGGAACAAGTGCACACAGGAACAAAAACAGTAAGCACATTGTTGTACGCTAGCAATCATAGCCTATTTCAAAACCTAGTTCTCTGATCATTTGTGTGGTTATTGTTACTTGCGAAGTCGTGCCTGATCCATCGCGACCCCATGGACAACGTTCCTCCAGGCCTTCCTTGTCCTCTACCATCTTCTGGAGTCCATTTAAGTTCACGCCTACTGCTTCAGTGAGTCCATCCAGCCACCTCATTCTCTGTTGTCCCCTTCTTCTATTGCCCTCAATCTTTCGCAGCATCAGGCTCTTCTCCAGTGAGTCCTTCCTTCTCATTAGGTGGCCAAAGTACTTGAGTTTCAACTTCCGGATCTGGCCTTCTAAAGACCAGTCAGGGTTGATCTCCTTTAGGACTGACCGGTTTGATCGCCTTGCAGCCCAGGGGACTCGCAGGAGTCTTCTCCAGCACCTTAGTTCAAAAGCCTCAATTCTTTGTCGCTCAGCCTTTCTTATGGTTCAACTTTCACAGCCATACATTGCAACTAGGAAAACCATGGCCTTGACTATACGTACTTTTGTTGGCAGGGTGATGTCTCTGTTTTTTAGTATGCTGTCTAGATTTGCCATAGCTTTCCTCCCTAGGAGCAATCATCTTTTAATTTCTTGGCTGCAGTCCCCATCTGCGGCGATCTTGGAGCCCAGGAAGATGAAATCTGTCACTACCTCCATTTCTTCCCCATCTATTTGCCAGGAATTGAGAGGGCCGGATGCCATGATCTTGGTTTTCTTAATATTGAGTTTCAACTGATCATTTGTGTTGTGCCTTAAATATATGGCCATGTCTTGTGATTTCTTCAACAGCACACACACTTTACACATGTCAAATGTACATGCTCAAAAGCACTGCTTAAATCATGTTAAAGGAAAAGGCACTGGAACAATTCTCTCAAATTCCAGATAGCCTTGCGCTTTTGGGCTGCCTGGATCTTGGCATCCCAAATCTGGTCGCCCTAATAAAATGATAGATCTATTTGATCACTGTTATCAGAGGAGATGCTGAGATTGATAGGGATGCCATGTTGTGCTTGATCACAGGAGCGTCTTGCTAGTGTCACAGATTGTGTTCTAGAATGGCCTTTCCCTGAAAATTCCAAGAATCTCTAATATTTCCCTATTTTAGGCACTTTTTAACAACCATTTCACCCAGGCCAACTTTGTATAAATACTGCATGAATTCTCTAGATTTATTTATTTAATTAGTTGGATATTTCCATCCTTTTTCCTTAATGAATTCATTTTAACGTTATTTTAATATACTGATCATGCCGGGTACAGGGATTTAAGATCTGGGTGCATGGGAGACAGTACAAAATTCCATCTATTGACTGCACAAAAAAATTGACTCAGTTCAAGGAAACAGCAATTAATTGAAAAAAATATTTTGCCTCTTCAACAAAAATAAGCACCCTCAGACCTCAACAGATAAGGGATTTTGGACTGTAGATCTGTAGTTCTTTCCCAGAGGTCCAACTCATTCTTCTCCTGACTGGAGTAGCTGGGAATTATGGGTGCTCTAATCCTAACACATCTGGAGAATGTAAGATTAGGAAGGGCTACTCTAATCTAATAAAGCCATCGTGGAATCCGCCAATTCCAATTTTTCCAATTCTTGTTCAACCAATGCAGGCAGGGATATAGGACAAAGTATATGGGTCAAAGGTCGAACAGGGGTTTATAGGATTTAAAGGATTTCATTAATATGTCTATTAAACTTGAATGTTGCCCATTTCTCCAGAGGCGACTCTAGGTGACTTACAGACGTTCAGAATAACAGAGTTGGAAGGGACCTTGAAGGTCTTCTAGTCCAACCCCGTTGCAGAAGACCCTGTACCATTTCAGACAAACAACTGTCCAATCTCGTCTTAAAAACCTCCAGTGATGGAGCACTCACAACTTCTGAAGGCAATTAGATTAAACTAAAGATAAATCAGTACTTTCCTTTGTCTTGAAGTAAAATATTGGGCAGTGAGATGGCAGGAAATCTTACAGTCTGCTCTACTGCAACTCTTTTTTTTTCCAGAACACACTGGTTAAGTACACACACCATGGTAAACTAGGATAAAATATGGCTGAGTGCCTTGTGGGAGCCCAGTGTCTTCCCCTGGTGTATGAAGCCAGCCATGATTTTAAGTGATAATACACCTGACTTATTTTAGCTTAAAATTACATGCTATCAGCAAGTGTTAGCCCAGGCTTGAGGTTTAGTGTGTTGTGTGAACTCTTAAAGAGTTATTCTAATTTAGGGTTTTGAAAAAGGAGCTACTTACCTGTGAAGGTACTCTTGATAGTTCTGCAGGGGTCTGCTTGAGACTTCTTTCTTCTGGATCCTTTGCAGACCCCAATTCCCAGATCTTCTGAAGTCAGGCCACTTGTGAGATTCTCTGGTTGGTTCTGAATGAAACACCCACGTACAATTTGAATATGCCATCTTCCTTGATAGAATAAGGAGCAAGGAAGGAGACCAGGATGAACTTGAAGTCTTATTGATTCATTTCTTTCTAAGGTCCCATTTCCAGCTTCCTCTCTTCCATCCACCCTTCGCCCTTCCCTCTTCCTTCCCATTATTTGTTTGTCTGTCTTCACTACAACTGACTTCCTGGATTCAGAGTTAAGAATCTGATCTGCTGTCATATCATGACATTCAGGTTCTTTATGCTTCTTGTTTGGGCATTACCATGGCATCAATAATCTCACTGGCTTATGACAGGCATCAAGCCATTCCCTTGAGGCTGGACAGTAGCCAAATGAAGCTAAAGCTGAGTTCATTTGCTCATTTGCCAGAGAATTTAAATAAATTCTGGGGGAATTACTTACAAAGTTAACTTAGGTCACATCTGGCTGCAGTAAAAGGTACATTTACCAGACTGTAAATCACTTTGAATTAAGCAGCACTTCCTTCTAAATATATCTGCAGACAATCTGGCCATTATCAGACCAGGCTGAAATTATTAAATTCAGTTTCAGAGAACTCGCTTTTATGTGAACGTGCACATACATTTGCCTGCACTGCAATGGACGTTTTTAAAGATTAAATGAAGACTTAATTCTAATGCACAGGACTGATTTCAACAACAATTATCCAATACAACAGCCAGGAGTATCCATGGGTTATTCTTTCTTTTTTTAAGAAAAAAACAAAAATGAAGATGATGACTGTGAGAGTGTGATCAAAACTCCACCCCTTCGGGGAGAAAGGGCAGGAGAGTGGTGAAGGAAAGAGAAGAGGAGAGGAAGAAGAGGGAAGTAGGGAAGAGAAGAAAGGGAGAAAGAAGGTAGAGAAGAAGGAGTGTGGATACAGTGAAAGGGGAAATGGGCGAGCAACACCAAAAGTCATGTGCATGTATTTATTTCATTTTATTAAAAGTATCTTATATATGAATGTAAAAAGAATGTATGTTAACATCTGATAAATATCACGGTATATGTATGGGGGAGAGTTTAAAAAAATAAAAAATTATTTAAAAAAAAAACTCCATCCCTTCTTAACTTGTCCACATAAGAAGGGTGAAGCTTCAATCTAATTGTCTCAGTGACAATCTTGATTCCTTTTTACCACAACTGTATAGATCAGTGATGGCGAACCTTTTAGAGACTGACTGCCCAAACTGCAACCCAAAACCCACTTATGCATCGTCAAGTGCCGGGTGGGTGTGGCCCATTGGGTGGGCGTGGCCCATTGGGTGGGCGTGGCTGTGGTGGTAACGGCAGACTGGGTGGGACTAAAAAGTTCAATCAATCAATTCCAACTTTGCAACATCTTTTTTTTTCCCACGAGAAGTTGAAATTGACTGATTGAACCTTTTTTTTTTTTTTTTTTTGCACACGGCGGCAAAGGCTTAAAACGAAAAGGTTTTATAAAACCCAGCAGAAGGCCTAGGACTGGGGTGACGGCACGCGTGCCATAGGTTCGCCACCACTGGTATAGATAATCCTGACAACAATAGAGGACAATTTTCTCAGATTTAAAGGATAATTAAATAAAAAATTAAATTAAATTAAAGAATCAACTAGGCAGAGGTCTCCAACGTTGGCAACTTAAAGACTTGTGGACTTCAACTCCCAAAACTCCCTAGTCTACCTGGCTGAGGAGTTCTGGGAGTTGAAGTCCACAGTTCTTAAAGTTGCCAACGTTGGAGATCCCTAAACTAGAGGGCATTAACAGGTGACTCTTGAAAGCTGTATCATCCCAGGAAGGGGTAAGATTGTGCCTTGAGGGGCAGTGGTGGGGCATTGGGTTTATTAAGGGTGGGAATGGTAGCAAAAGCCTCCCAAAAGGCAGCCCACTCTTAATCCCCCCCCCTCTTTAAAAAGATGCATACTCACCCCTAAATTGTGCTGCTGACATTTTTGGGAAAAAACGGCTGAATTTCAGCAGCGGAATTTGGGGCTGTTTTAGGAGGTTTAAGGGAGATAAAGAGAATTTCCAGAAGTTTCTCACGCTCATTTTCATCTTAATTTTTTTTTTGGGGGGGGGGAGGAATCTAAAAAAATCATGGTGTGGAAAAGAGGCTATTTTGTCAGTGACCTTTGGTGGCTTGAGCTAAGGCTGCTGGGGAGGGTTCTTGACAGATTTCTCCAAAACTAATCAAATTAGGGAGACATACTTTTGCTACAAGACTATAAAAATTGCATTATTTGTGTGGGTGAGACCATTGACAGTTATGCCCTAACACTTTTGAGGCTCATTAATATATTTAACTGTTATTTGGCTAGACGATTTAATATATAAATCTCAAAATATGAACACTGGATATGTGCTTAGTGACTGTATATCAAATAATAAATAGCATCTAATCTCTAATTAAATCTTGACAACCCTGGCCAAACCACGAAAGCCTATTAAAAAAAGCTGGGGTGGGGGAATTATTTATATACAGCCATTGAAAGAACAATGCAGGAAAAAAAATGTAAAAATATAGATTAAATACTCTTACGGTTAGAACGTAATACAAATACTTTGACTAATAGTAAGGTATTAGGTTGCATGACATAAAATAGACAATGTGGTTTCAGAATCAACTGTTGATTTTTGTTTTAGAGCTAAATGGGAAAGGCGTGAATTCCTTATCTTCCCTCTCATGCATATTCTTGCTTTGGCACAAGTGTGCAGTTTGTTCAAATACCGGTTTTTTAAGAGCTAAATATTCTCATTCCAAGTTTCAGCACAAATGACTGATTCTTGGAGACACGGCCGTTGCCTTTCTAACCAACCTGTCTTCAGTAAAAGAAGGAATTCATATTAGAAAAATATGGATTTTTCAGAATCTCAGCATTTTGTTTATAATTAAAACTAAAAATTTAGATCTTGGAGCTTAGGTGATATGTGCTGGCCGAATATTCTTAAGTATCACCATGGAAAAGTTACCCTAGGTGGGTATTCTTAGGATTTAGGCCAGGGGTAGGCAACTGTGGCTCTTTTATGACTTGTGGACTTCAACTCCCAGAATTCCTGAGCCAGTTATGCTGGCTCAAGAATTCTGGGAGTTGAAGTCTATGAGTCATAAAAGAGCCAAGGTTGCCTACCCCTGATTTAGGCACATATTCAACAACATGCAAGAAGAGAGCCAGTTTGGTTTATTGATGAAGGACCAGATTAGAAGTCAGAAGACGGTGAGTTCTAGTCCTGCCTTAAGTATGAAAGCTGGCTGGGTGACTTTGGGCCAGTCCCTTTCTGTCTGCCCAACCCACCTCACAGGGTTGCCATTGTGAGTAAAACAGGAAGAAGGAGTTTTAGATATATGTGCCGCCTTGAGTTACCGTATTTATAAAAAAATAACAAAGGTAGAATATCAATCAATCAATAAATAAACACATCGATATTCATAGCCAAAGCACATAAAGATGTATGAATATAGCTTTATTTGGTGATTGCATATTCATTGTAAACAGTCAAGAATATAGCATCACTTAACTGGATATCATTTAGATGTGTTGGACTAAACTACCTAGAATTTCCAGCCAAGGGCCATGTTGTCTAAGGAAGAGGAGAGTTGTATTACAACACATTGCTTTAGTCTCCTGCATATCTCAAACTCTGGAAATGGCAGAAAGACTCTTTATTCTCAGCTCTTGCCGGATATCTGCCTTATTGTCACCCCATTTTTATTTACATTTCCAAGGTATTCTCAGATGCTTTGTTTATTTATTTATTTAAGAATCATTTTCTTTCCTTAAATGTTCCATTGTGTAAACGCCATCCACTGACTGATAGTTAGTAATGGTGAGCAATCTATGATTTTCAGAGCATCACTTTGTTATGCTAAGGTCCATGGCTGTAATAAAGTCATCCATCCATCCATCCATCCATCCATCCATCCATCCATCCATCCATCCATCAAACTGTGTTCCAAATAAAGAAGAGAATGTAATTTTTCATTTTCCAGTTTCTTCTTTGCCCTTCTTTGGAGTGGGGGGGGCAATGTATCTGTCAAGACTAGGGGTAGGCAACCTTGGCTCTTTTATGACTCGTGGACTTCAACTCCCAGAATTCCTGAGCCAGCATGGCTCAGCTTGGAAACCTTTCCCTTTCCCCTCAGCATGGCTGGCTCAGGAATTCTGGGAGTTGAAGTCCACGAATCATAAAAGAGCCAAGGTTGACTACTGGTCTTGACCATGAGCCTACCCTGGAGCCCAGCTATTATTAATTCTTAAGAAGAACTGTGCCTGGCTCAGACAAAGTACAGGTACTGTAGTCCTTGATTTACAACCATAATTGAGCCCAAAATTTCTGTTGCTAAGTGAGACAATTGTTAAGTGAGTTCTGCTCCATTTTACAAGCTTTCTTGGCAGTTTTTAAGTGAATCACTACAGTTGTTAAGTGAATCTGGCTTCCACATTGATTTTACTTGTCAGAAGGTCACAAAACCTACTCCTTGGTAAGCTAGAAAAAGGTGGAATAGATAATATCACCACCAGATGGATCTGTAGCTGGCTGGCAAATCGTACTCAGCGAGTAGTCCTCAATGGCACTACACCCACTTGAAGAGAAGTAAACAGTGGGGTACCACAAGGTTCTGTCTTAGGCCCAGTACTCTTCAGTATCTTCATAAATGGCTTAGATGAGGGAATTGAAGGGAAACTCATCAAATTTGCAGATGACAGTAAACTGGCAGAGTATTCAACACCCCAAGCTTAAAAACAGCAACTGTAAGAGGGACCTTGGAGTCCTAGTGGACGATCACTTGACTATGAGCCAGCAGTGTGCAGCAGCAGCCAAAAAAACTAATACAATCCTGGGTTGTATAAAGAGAGGCATAGAATCAAGATCACATGAAGTATTAGTAATCGCTTTATAAAACTCTAGTAAAACCATACCTGGAATACTGCAGCCAATTTTGGTCACCATGTCACAAAAAAAAATATAGAGAGTTTGGAAAAAATTCAGAGAAGAGCAACTAAGGTGATCAAAGGCCTGGAGACTAAAACATACGAAGAACGGCTGCAGGACTTGGGTCTGGCTAGTCTAAAGAAAAGAAGAAATAGGGAAGTCATGAAACCAGTATTTCAGTATTTGAGAGGCTGCCATAAAAAAGGGATCCATTTGTTTTCCAAAGTACCAGAGGGCAGGACAAGAAACAATGGTTGGAAACTGATCAAAGAGAGAAGCAACCTGGAATTAAGGAGAAAGTTCCTGACAGCAAGGACAATTAACCAGTGGAAATTGTGGGCACTCCATCACTGGAGATTTTTAAGAAGAGGCTACACCCGTGGTGTCGAACCTATGGAACACATGCCACATGTGGCACAAAGAGCCCTCTCTGTGGGCATGTATACCATCATCCCAGTCCTAGGCCTTCAGCTGGGTTTTATAAAACCTTTTCGCTTTAGGCCTCCACCACCATGTACAAAAAAAAAAAAAGGTTCAATCAATTTCTTGCGGGGAAAAAAAAAGATCTTGCAAAGTTGGAATTGATTGATTGAACTTTTTAGTCCCACCCAGTCTGCCGTTACCACGGCAACCATGCCCACCCAATTGGCCATGCTCACCCAGTTGGCCACACCCACCCAATGGGCCATGCCCACTTGGCACCTGACAATACATAAATGGGTTTTGGGTTGCAGTTTGGGCACTCGGTCTCTAAAAGGTTCACCATCACTGAGTAAGACTGATAGTCAGTTAGTCACTTATCTGAGATGATATAGGTTCTCCTGCTTGAGCAGGGAGCTGGACTAGAAGACCTCCAAGGTCCCTTCCAGCTCTATTCTATTCTATTCTATTCTATTCTATTCTATTCCATTCCATTCCATTCTAAAATGTGACCACATGACCCTGGGACACTGCAACCGTCATAAATACGAACCAATTACCAAGCATCTGAAGTTTGATCACATGACCATCGGGATGCTGCAACAGTCGTATGAAAAACAATCATAAGTAAACTTCTTTAGTGTTCTTGTAACTTTGGTCACTAAACAAGCTGTTGTAAGTCAAAGACTACCTGAAAAGCATATGAGAACAATTAAGAAATAGCCCAATAGATGCAGCATACCCCCTAAAACCTCTATTTAACACTACTTTTATAGGAAAAGGGTCTCCATAAATGCAACTAACGTTCTTCTGTGGAGTTAAATTAATTGAAGCAAGGAATATTAGTAGTGGAGTTTGCTTTGGAAGTGAACAAACTTTGTTGGAGTACAAGCCGAAGAAAAATTTGTCTGCTACATTCAAATTCTGTTAAATTTGGCATTCTGGAGAATTATGGCTTTTCTGTGATTTAGCCAAGAAGGGAGAGTAGTCAGAATCAGATAACTCAGTGTTTCTCAACCTTGACAATTTTAAGGCATGTGGACTTCAACTCCCAGAATTCCACAGCCAGCAATGCTGGCTGTGGAATTCTGGGAGTTGAAGTCCACATGCCTTAAAATTGTCAAGGTTGAGAAACACTGATATAACTTAAAGATATGCTTTATGACTTGCTGCTGCTGCTCCTCCTCCTCCTCCTCCCTCTCTTTTCTCATATTTATCTGTAGTCTCTGGAGTTCTTGTCAATTGTCCTAAATGGTTCATTTCCACCTATATAGGATGACAGCTAATATTTGCTGAAAGCTTTGAGCTTCAAAAAGTGGTTTTAAAACACCTCCACCCCCATTTCTAGATTGTGTCTAAGAATATGTGTAGGTCAGATTCATAACATACAAAATCTTCTGAAGCATTTTTTTTTGTTGATATTCAAATAGTGAATTTGCATGAAAATGCCATCTGCCTGTTAACATTCTCCTTAGAATATCCATAGCTGTTTTTTTTTTTTTATCCCCATGTGGTCAATTGCTCACTTCAGCTGAAAGGTCTGAATGTCTTGTGCTGGATGGATGCAAAGTGGAACGTCAAAAGGTATGCAGTTTTCTCAAAGGCAGATGACCCCAAATGTACTCCGACATCTCCGATAAAAATGCTCACAAAGAGACAATGAGAAAAACTCTGTTGCCAGACCAGAGAGGAAATACTAGATCAGGGGTGTCAAACTTAATTTCATAGAGGGCCGTATCAGCATTGCAGTTGCCCTCGGGGGGGGGTGCGTGTGGCAAAGGTGGGTGCAGCCTACTGGGTGGGTGTGGCTGGAGTGTGTGTGGCCTACTGGGTAGGCGTGGCTGGAGTGTGTGTGGCTACTGGGTGGGCATGGCCAGCTCTACATCGTTCGCGTCAAGGGTGCCTGTGGGGGCCTGGGCAGGAGTGGGACAGATCTGAGGGTCTCTGGCAGAAGAGGGTGGGACCGGGGCAAGTGCCAAGGCGTGGTCCATTTCTTCCTCACAAAGGGTGACACCTCCCCAGCATGCACCCAGGGGACGGGGCTGACACGGCAGGGGCTGGTTCCTTGCTGGTTCCAGACACCTTGTGGAGCTAAGACTGAATGCGTTTCAGCACAGATGGCCACAAAATTGTACATTGGCTCCCGGACGGCCTGGGCCAGGGCCAAGGCAATGAGAGCCGTTCCCTCACTGTTTCCAGGATGGCTTCGCAGGCCACATGAAACCACTTTGCGGGCCGCATCTGGCCCCCGGGCCTTGTGTTTGACATGTCTGTACTAGATGGACAAAAAGTGGGCTCTGGCATATTACAACTTCCCACCTTCTTATGATTCATAACGTTAAGGATGCGTAAAGCTTTAGCACTCTCACGCAGACCCAAAACAGTCTGGTCAGAAGTGTCAGGAGGGGACAAAAGAGTGTTGTGAATTTACAGAGGTCTAAAATACCACAAGGATTCTGATAGCTGAGAACAAGACTGCAAACACACTGCAATCCAAAACAATGGTGAAACAGAAGGGAAAGCTGTTCCAAGTCTTTTGTAGAACAGGAGCTAGGAGGTCACCTAGTGGAGTACCAAAGTAACTTGACAGAATTCCCCTCCTCTACATGAAGAGCAAGGCTCTCGTTTCCTTATGGCATATCTGGGAAAGCAGAAAATAAGCAGAAGTTAAATTCCTTTTTTAACCTTCTCTTTGATGGGTTCTCTATACATTCTAATTCAGGGGTATCAAACTTGCCACGTCATGTGAGGACGTATCACCACTTTCCCCCCATTGCCGAAGCTGGGGGTGGGCATGGTTTCGGCATGACACATCCGACCCATGGGCCGGCAGTTTGACACCCCTATTCTAATTAGTGACTCTACTAGAATGTAGAGTGGGGGTTCTTTTTTTCTCCAATGTAAATGTTTTTAGCAAGTTGAAGTAAATGTATTTAGAAGCCCGTAAATTACCCACCTTCCCAAGGATTACCACCTTGATGTGATGGGAGAACTCAAATGCTTCAGTAATTCTGAGAACAACAGGCAGAGGAACCTAGATCTCCTTTTTTCTACAGGTGTTGCAATGTCATAGGCATGTGTAAAACAGGAGACGCTTGCATCACAACACAGCTCTTGTCCCCAGTAAACAGGTGCACTCCATGCCATGTTTTCCCAGGCTGATCATCCTCAGCTGCTTCTCATGGTTAGAATAGAATAGAATAGAATAGAATAGAATAGAATAGAATAGAATAGAAGCTGGAAGGGACCTTGGAGGTCTTCTAGATCAGGAGTGTCAAACTGCCAGCCCACAGGCCGGATGCGTCACGCCAAAACTGCGCCCACCCATGACGGCAATGGGGAAAAAAATCACGATACGTCGAGACATGTCACATGACATTGGGAGTTTGACACCCTTGTTCTAGATGTATGGAAGGGAGTACCTAGTGTTTCCATTGGTCTTCCTGGCTTTAAATGTTGGGAATTACAATCCAACTTAATCTGAAGACCATCAGCTTGATTCAGAATATTAAAAAAAATATCCAGTTAAGTAAAATACTCTCTCAAGTGTTAATTAACTTCTGGTGCTGGTGAAGCATTTTGATAGAGGTTCAAGAGATGTGAATGAAATATCTGAAAGCATTAGCCAAACATGGCTACCTTGCTTCCCGTGCATAAAGCTAGCATTTCTGAGCTGAAACAATCATTCTCACATTGTTTCTGGTTCAGTTCCTGCTACGTCCCCAGAAGAGAAAGGACACGAAAAACAAAAGAGACAGCACAGTGTACTTTGAAGCACCATTTTTACTGTAGAAGAATGGCAGAGTGGGATAATCTGCTACAATTTCAAAACCAAAAAGGGCGGGGGGGGGGAGAAATCCACTTTAAAATAAAGACAATCCGATTTTGCTCCCTTCATCCTCATTGAAAACATAATTGCACCACCCAAGGCTGCCCGAAACGTACAAACATTAAAACTGGGAAACGCGGGCTGCGTGTGTGTAATGCTGAAACAGAGAAACAGGGAAACATCCTGCAAGATAAACTGAAAAAAAAAAAAGAGTGGCACCCATTCTCGTGAGGCCACTGAGACGCTGATTCAAACCAGTAATACCAGACAGGAGTTAGAACACTCTGCACCTCCTCTTTTCAGCAACTGCCAAACGGTGGTCCTTGGAAATAATGTTTTTGAGAATCCAAGTAACCAATGGCCAGAGGAAATACGAGATAATGTTGTGCCGACGTTTATGCAGTATATTGTACAAACACCTTGTACAACCCAAATTCAAAACGGCAGAGGAGATCCATGGCAAAAGCTAGCTTCCGTGAAAGGAGACCAGGTTTGTGCTTGGCAATGTAGAAGAGTTCAGAGGAACCACATGCAACTTATGGAGTCCGGCTGGCATCTACCTGCTGGACAGATAACTTATATTAGGGAACAATGCATCAAAAGCACAAAGGAATAAAGGAGAGATGGATGGTATCTGCTACAAAAATCAATACCCCCTTTGCAGTTTCTGTGTCCTTCAGGCGTAAAAAGGAAACAATTCAAAGTGCTTAGCATATGGAGTTTGGTAGAAAGGAAAGCCAGGATACTGTGATTCTCAAGTGCCTTGTGGTTAACAACTGCTTGTCTAGCAATATGGTCAGAGACCTCTTCCCTTCCAGGCACTGATGTAGCAGCAATACCCTGTCCACAGTGATAGGAACAAAAACAAGAGAGGGGACAACGCAAGAGTGGCAACTCCAGGGGACTCTGTGGAGGACACAACCATGCCGTTCTGACTAAGAGCACTGATTTTAGTACTTTTGTTTTTTTTAATCTGCAGGGCACAAAAATTCTGTCAATTCTTTTCAAGCTAGCCTGCACGACAGAGGTGAATAACCCATGTCTTTGGGTTGTTCCCCATTTTACTAAACTGCATTGTCATATGTACCAACTAGACATGCCCCCCCCCAGGAGAAGCACCTGAACAGACCTTGGTTCTGGAATCAAGATAGAGACAGGGGAAATGTATTTCAAACAAAGCCAAAAGAAGCTCGGCTTGGAAGTCATTCTCATGTCTTGTTAAGTCTGCGGTTCAATTGAAGGGCCCAGCTCCTGCCTTTTACTGAAAATCCCGGCTCTTCTCAATAAAGGAGAAAACTCTTAAATTTACATTCTCCCCAAAAAGTGCCACACCAAGCTAATTAAGGGAGAAGGATTAGGCAATCACATTTATCTGTAGTTCAGCCTCTGCTACTCCTCAGATGTGTTGGGCTTCAACTCTTGTTATCTTCACTTTCCCATGCTGGCTCAAGATAGCAACAGTTAGTCCAAAACATCAGCAGGCTGCCCAGGGTAACCATCTATCTTGTGACTGTTTTTCTCCTATTCCATATCTTCCTATAGCCCCCCCCCTTTTTTTTTTCACAGAAGCAGCACTTCTTCACATTTATCATATCCAGAGGCTACATACAGTATTACCAACCAGCAAACAGAGCATAAACCAAGGATGTCAATGCATCTGTTAATGGACAACCGGGAGGCAACAAAATGTGTAATTCCTTATTAAAGGAACATATCAACTTTGAAGCTGCTGAGATGTTTCCCGGTTATGGATTTATAAGTCAACATTAAATAGAGAAGAGCCGAAGTGGCACAAACTTAAGTTGCCCAGCCTGAAATCTCGTCTCCAGGTACAATTGCCTATCGCAAGGCACTTACTTTAAATCAAATTCTCATCTCTAAATTGGCAAGTATTTCAATTAAGAAATACAGGTAGTCCTTGATTTACAACCATTCGTTTAGTTCAAACGGCACTGAAAAAAAAACACGAGTTTTTCACACATATAACCATTGCAGCATCATAATTTGGATGCTTGGCAACTGACATTTATTTATGATTGCCGTGAGGGGGGGGATCACGTGCTCACCTTTTGTGACCTTCGGACAAGCAAAATCAATGGGGGAAAGCCAGATTCACTTAACAAGCATATTACAACTTAACAACTGCAGTGATTGTTTAACAACTGGGGCAAGACAAGTCATAACATGGAGCAAAACTCGCTTAACCATTGTCTCCCTTAGCAAAGGAAATTTTGGGCTCAATTGTGGCCGTTAAATCGAGGACTACCTGTGCAGTACGCAAATATTCAGTCCGTCCAATGACTCAAAAAGCTTTCCCAAGGAATTCCTTTTTTATTCGTTTGGTACAGATTAGCAGAAAGGAAGTCCTATCTGGTCTGTATTAACTACTGATTAGGACCCAAAAATGGAATTCAAGTAGCCATGTCAGATGGCCCATTTGTAGTCACAGGTATCCTTCCTGGTTAAATGTTTACAAACAGATGAAGTAGCTTTATAACCAGTTCCACTGCTGATCTATTCTACATCAGGACTGTGTGTTGCAGGAGTGGGTCTCTGTAGTTTCAAACGAAACATTTCTTTCTTTTTTTCCCCCCATCCTAAGATCTTTTTTTAGAATGCTGGAGACTGAATCCAGGTGGGCTGCGAAGGAATGGCTGCTGAACCTGCAATAAAAAGGACACAAGGCAGAAAAACACCTGTTTGAAGAACAAATGACAGGAAGTAAGGATAAATGAAACAATAATCAGGCAGGCAAGCTGAGTGCTTCAGGGTGATCCTTCCAAATATCTCTGGAAAGGTATCGGCAGAGGCTGCGTACCCATCTGAAACGTCACTTTTCTTACTGCATGAAGCTGGTCTTTAAACAATTGGCACTGTGCATCAGCGTTTAACACAAAACACTTTCTCTCTTATAAAATTCTTATAGCAAATGGAAAACAATGTTAAAGCATCTGAAGACAAGGCAAGACACAACCTCTGCCTTATTCTTAAGTTGCTGCCAAAGCTGCCGGCGACTGAGGTGTCACAACTTTCGCCTCCATTTCAGCTGAAGGACCCCTAAGATCTTCTAAGCCATTCTTCCAATTCAAGACAGTGCACAAGCCACTTTGAAAACCGATTTCTGCTAATTGTACAGACTGTTTAACCGTCAACTGGGAAATGGCTGCATAAAAAGATAAGAAAATTGTAAAGGCACAAAAACTGTCTAGGTTTTAGCTTTAGATGTTTCTTTATAGGTTTAACTGCTGTGATGCCAGCATCTTCTGGGATCAGGATGCCTAACCACAATGAGTTCAAAGAATACTTTTTCAGAGTCACCCTTGCACTCTGGTTCTCTAAATCCAGGTTGTTGGGGGGGGGGGTTGGGCCTGGTGCTATTATCTTTGCAGATCAATATTGAGAAATAAAAATGGAGAACATTGTTATCGAAATTACCTTCCCTTCATCAGTCAAAGCTTATATTACTTCGCCCAGAAAGAGACAAGTCTAGGAATCAAGTGAGTAATTGCACAGTTTCATTCCCTATTAAACCAATTGCTGGGAACAAAGAAAACACTCTCATGAAGTACACTGCCTCCAGTGAAGTAGAATAGCCTCTTCTAACCAAGTCATTGGACTGACAAAAGCCAGCTCAATGATCTTCTGGGATTGCTAATTACTACAACCCTCCGATGCTAACAACCAAACAACAAAGCCTACCGTGAATATGGTCTAGAGGCCTCAACCTTGAATCAGTGACTGAGCAGCAATTTGTTGTGTAGATCCAATCTCTTCCACATAGGGGTTAATTAGCAATCTCCATCTGGCAAAAAAGATCTTCTCTACAGGAAGCCAGAACAACTTCTAATCTCCTGTGATTTCAAAAGCCCCCCAATATCTATCGTTCATGCAGTTTGATCAACACTTCAAGTCTCACACCAACACATGAATGCCAGGCTATTAGAACTCGACTTTCAGAGATAGTATAGACCAGGCATGTCAAACATGCGGCCCGCGGGCTGGATGCGGCCTGCGCAGGCCACACCCACCTCAGCCTCGCAAAGGCAAAAAAAAGTCCCGATACGTCACAATATGATTTGATACCCCTGTTGTAGACAGAGCAATCCCCCCAGTGCAGATTCTCCAGCTGGCAACATAAAAGCGAAGAGAAAACCAACAGTGGTCTTAATTGATCTATGAAAGGTATTACCTGCATTGCTATATCACCTTTTTTCTTGAGGGTGGAGCATTCCTCTAAAATGCTTTCGCCGCATACTTTCACCTCAAAAGCCCAAATGTTTTTTTCCCCCCTAATGCTCTCTATTCCTTATTTCTTCCAGTGGTTTGGAAGGCATCCTTCTGCAAATGCAGAGACTACATAGAAAAAAAGAACAGTCTCCTTCTTTCCACGCTGATGTTATGCCAATGTATCTTTATGTTTTCAGATATTTTGTATGTGCATGTGATAACACAAAGGAAGTTTAAAGGGTAGCATGGAAAGATCTAAACAAAATGGTGTGTGTGTGGGGGGGAGCTGTAGCTATTATATTTGGATAACAAATATCCCAAACAGAAAGGTTCACAGAAAGCCAGGGCTATTATAATTCAGAAAAGAATTAATTCTAGAAAAATCTGGGACACAACACCTGGAATCCAGTCAGGGTTGTAGAGACCCAAGCAGGACAGACTGAGGTTTCTCCTTGCCTTTTTCCTTAGCACAAATAGGGAGAGTAAAAGTTCAGGATCCTAGGAAGAATGCCAGGTAGCTAATTAAGGTTCTCTGCAATGTAAGCAAAGATTTGTCTCAACAGTGGCTCAGCAGAGAGCAGATTTTTCAAAGTCGTGTTGCAGGTAGAACTGTCATCAAAACATCTATGGAGGGCTCAGAGGAGGCTCCTCCCCCATCTTATGAAGCCTTGAAACTAACAAATTAACCAGATATCCTCCATGAAGCACAGCCTATCTATCATTGTTCAAGGGAGCCTCCAGAACCCCAGTGATGGGTTGATCTCATTTGAGGTTTGTTCCCCCAAAACAAACTACTTATGGGGAGGTCTGGCAAGCAAAGATCTTCCTTTCGTGAATTCCCACATAATGAAGGCAGTCTAATCCAAAGTGGCACAGAACAAATATTGTCTTTGGGGGTTAGAAATGTACTCGTTAAATCACCAGAGGGCTGGTTTTCTACATATTTACGGTGGAATTTCTGAATATACGTCTACAACAAAATTTCCGCATGCGTACAGAAAATTAGCACTTGAGGGAGAAATTTTCAATACTGTCTATGAGAGGTAATGCTTAAAAATATTACCAATCACCATCACCATCTGACGTTCGCAAATAGCCCGAGTCTGATTTCTACTCCTCAAATCCATTCACCTTATTTTGCGTAAGTTGGAACAGGGGTTATTGGTTTTGGCTGGCCTAAATAGTAAAGCCCAATCAGTATTTTACAACTTATTTCAAAATCAGTCAACAGGACAAACTTAAAACTGCACCGAGAAGCAGCAGAGAAAGTAACCGCTATGCCTCCTAATAGCAGGGCTACATGAAAAAAAACCTGAATCGGTTTTAATTGTTGTGGTTTTGACAATCTGAATATCACAACTTCAAAGGAAGACGGAATCTCCCACGCTGATCTCAATACTTTCACTTAACTCTTACTGCCGTTGTTCTGAGTAGGGGAAAAAAAACCACAGTGGTAAAATAAGAGTAGATGTGGCACAAAGCAAATATAAAATTACACTTCTGAAATACTGAAAGAACGTATGAACCTCCAATGGTTTTAGGCCCGAAATTTCTATTATAGTTTAGCTCCACATTTGCAACACTAGACAAAAAAAAGAAAAACAAAAACAAAAAACCACACCCAACCATCTCTACGTCTAGCCCTAAAACCTCCTGCTTGTGTGAAAGGAGATATTAACACAGCCTGTTCAGATGCAGCCGATACATTCAAAAGCCCAATGTCTACAAGCCAGATTCACTGAAATGTCTGACTGCAGACATTGTCTAGTGTAACAATTGCACTAGAAAATTATTATTTGCCAATTTTACCAAGTTCTGAGGCTCATCAGCAGCCAGGGATTCATTTAAACAAACGAAAATAACAGAGGGACACAATGTTAACAATCTCGCTGGGTTCCTTAACGATCCCCCATAGGAGACCAATACATAGAAGAATACAGGACATTGATTGGTGGACACTGCCCCCCAGGGAAACACCGTAAAGAGGCACTGAGTCTTCAAAAAGTATATTCCGAAGAGGAACTTCCTGCCTCTGTGGCACAAATGTGGTACTAGCCACTTGGACAACATTCTTAGATTGCCTGGGATGCACTGGGGATTAGACCTGCCTTCCCTTCTCTAACCAAGCAGCCATGCCTCCATGCTTGGGATATGAAACTATTTTTCTCCCTCTCTCTCATACTCTGTTGGGAGATTTTAAAAAACTCTCTTCCAAAAGAGAAAAAGTGTACCAGAGAAAGGATGTTTCTCCAGCTCTCCCTTCCGGTGGACTCGGAATACTCCTCCAGCTTTCATGTACTTTTTCACTATGGTCAGCTAAGATGTGACAATAATGGGAATAAATAGGACCAGAGACTAGATGACAGCAAGCCACTAGCTTTTAGAGAAAAGAGAGGCAGTGCTGGAGACAAGCAAAGGCCTTTGTTGTGTTTTTCAACAAGTAACTGGGGGGAGACAAAGCTACGCCGGGGGGGGGGGGAGACGTCTGAACCCAGTTCTTGAAACAGGAAGAATTGAGGGATCACATTCTGACAGCCCTTGGGCAATGCATATGTACGAGTCAATAGATATTTATATTTCATAAGTATATAAAATAGGATCAAAATAAAGCCAAGTAGATTTACAGATCGAAAGATAAAAGGAACCAGAAATATCACAGTACGGGAACAGCCCAAGTGCCACCACATCCCAGATGTGCACTCTGCCATGTTTACAAAAGTACGTGTAAAAAAGTGTCCCAGAGGAAAGCCAGTGGTGGTCTCTATTCTTCTCAACGGGGCCTTAAAGATCTCCTCCGGTATTTCTAAACATGATTTTGTAATCCAGTTGTTGCTCAGCTCTGCGGAATTTCCCCCAAATGCCAGCCAGGACCTGAGGATCAGCCGCCTGAGTAGTTCAGACGTGTAGGCCCTCACCCGGTCCGAGAGACTTGACGCTGATTTGATCATCCTCACATGGTGGCCTTGGAGCTCCAACTCAACTGAATGACTCAAGGGATACTGAGAGACTGAGGCAATGGCCGAATTCTGATCACAGGGGACAGGTTAACTTTAAGGATCTGTTGTGCTCTCCTCCTCAATTCATCGTCTGAAGAGTTGTCCACTTTGATGGCCTGGAATTTCAGCAGGTTTGGCGTTTCCAAAGCCGGTTCTGGTTTATTAGGTGGTGGAACAGAACCGGGCGTCTTTCTACACGGCAACTCTTTCCCTTCGTCTGCTCGTCTTCTTTTCTCCCCAATTGCCTGCTGATGGCTGTCCCCACTTTTCCATTCAGTTTTGGCCACCAGCGGTTCCTTAATTCTGGAGGCCCCTGTGCTACAGCTCTGGGAGTTGCTCCCAGAAATCCGGCCATTCAGGATTCCAGATGCTTTGCAAGCATAACTTTCCTGAAGCACCCCACCCTTTGGTCCTTTTATAAGGTTCATCGTGAGAGCAGCAGAGTCCGGCACTTTTGTTATTACCGGTAAATGCCTATATCCTTTGGGGTCCAACTGATTAGACGACATCTTAGCGGCCTTCCCTGCTGAAGACTGCATAGATGCAGTGGATGCTTTGAGATGCTTAAGGTCCGAAGGAGAGATCCCGAGGTGCCCTTGTTTGCATTTTGATTCCAAACAAGAGGCAGTGGCTTTCAGAGGGACTAAGGCTTCCAGCACCACTGAAAGCCTCATGGCTGGATAGACACCAGGGTACATATTAGCAGGGAAGCTCATTGCTGAAGCTTTTGATGTGCCCGAACGTGTCCGTTTCAATGAGTTCAATAGGAGGTTTGTGGAGTTACTGCTCTTTGACATCGGCTTAGCAGATTCTTTTGAAGAGTTCACGGTAATACTTGCCAAGGAGGCAGGTACTTTTTCTATGGTTACTATGTTCCTTGCTGGAGCCTTGGCAGACTTTGAAATAGGAACAGCTGTTTCTGAAATGCCTTGAATATTGCCTTTTGTTTGGCCAGGTGCATTGGCAGTGCAGGAACTATAACCATACACGTCTTTGCTCCGTAGGATTGTGGGTTGGTGGCCTTCTTCTTTAAGGCCTTGGAGAAAAGCTACTAACTGGGTCTCCGTGTCAGACAGGTCCTTGGACATGGGGTTAAACACCCGGAGAGCTTCTTCCAAGGCTTTCTGTCCTGCAGAGGAGATCCTTGACCAGGAATGGACAGCTTTCTCTTCCACATTGTCCGCTTCAACATTCATGGCATTAGGCTGGCAGGAGCTTCTAGTAGATCCAAACCCCACTGGGAAACCAGCACAGGTCACCTTAAAGGAAACAGGAAAAAAAAGTAAGTAACTTACAACCCAAGAAACGTTTACTTTGAAGATTTTAGGAGGTGAGGAGAACTGTAAACCTTTTCAATACACTTTTTCATTGGAACCAAACTTTACATATACTATTAGACCTCTTCTCCTCTATGTTGGTTTTTTATTTAACTGATTTCTGGCTTCCGTTATAAATTACGGTGTTTTTTTAAATGTTTTATTGATTTTCTAATTTTACATTTAAGCATTTAAAAAGCAACGTGGCGGTTGAGTTAATCAAAAATTCAGTGACAGTGACATCTTTACTACAAGTCTCAAACTACCACATTAAATATTTCCCCTCTTTTCCCCCTGGTATTTACTGTCTCATGTATAAACTAATACAATTCTTATTATATCAATTAAATAAAAATAACCTTCTTACATTTATCAATAATTTTTAGCTTATACACATCCTGGTTATTTTAACATTAAGTCTTTATAGACAATCAATGTCCTAATTAGTTTTTCCCAATTTTTAGTTTCCCATTAATGTTTAAATTTAACATTTAATATTTATAATTTCCAAGTTTTAAGTGACCAAAGTTTCCTTTATCACAATTCATCACAAAGTCTAATATTCAGGATACACGTCTTATCTATTTGAATATATTCTATTTCTCACCATTTTACTTCTAATTAATAATATAGTATAACATTATTTTCTATTAATTTCCAAATGTCTTAAATTTAGTAAACAAAATTTCTCTTGTTTCAACACCAAATACTTCCTCTTTTTTTCTTAATGTCTACTATCTCATATTTAAGCTAGTACAGTTCTTATATCAGCTAAGTAAAAACATGTTTATTACATTTATCAATAGATTTTTAGCTTATATATATATACATATACATATACATATATATATATATATATCTTAATTACTTTTACATTCAACCTTTATAAACAAATCAATATTCAAATTTAACTTTGAATATTTATACTTCCAAGTTTTAAATGACCAAAGTTTTCTTTATCTCAGTTCATAACAAAATCTAGTATTCAAAGTACACATCTTGTCTATTTGAGTATATTCTATTTTAATCCTCACTAATAAGTCAAAACCCCAATTTTCTTCAGCCTTATTCTAGCTTTCTTTCTTTGCCAACTCGGCTTCCATATCCGTGCTTTTAAGTCATCAAATAATTCTCCCTCTGTTATTATATATATTGTTTGAGATAAAAGAGGCCATCCAGTCACCATTTTTTTGGAAGAGCTAACAAATCATCTCTCTATTTTCCCATCTCGACGTAGTTGTCCTGAAATGTTTATCTTCCCTTCAGTGTGGTCGTCTTGATCCTCAGGTTTCTTCTGGTGTGATAAATTAAAAGCTTTACAATCAGAGAATGAAAATAATTTTGTCACTGAGAATAGAACACAGCTGGGCTTCTCACAGTTGATATCTGCCAAGGTTGCAAAAGTCTTATCTATAGTCTGGGCTTCAAGCCTTTTAGACAATAACAAGTTGTAATATCAGGTTTAGCCACAAGATGTCGCCCATATCATTTAAGATTTTTGTCTTTTTTTTTAAGTCCAAATTTTTTATAATCCTTTTTCAATTTTACTTCTTTTTTGTAAGTAAAAACCCAAATCTTTAATAAGAATAAGAAATCTTTTAGTCCTCAAATTTTAGAAAGATAAAAATCCAGTTAGAATCAAGTTATTCTTTCAGCATTTTAAACTCCCCTGGATAGTCAGTCGCCACTGTTTTTAGAGGGTGGGATACAATTTCCCTTCCCTCTCTCCACAGGAGGGAAAATACTTTGGGCAGCTTATACAGGTGGAAAAAATAATTAGGCTTGAAGAGAGGTTCAGATCTCATCCAGTCTCATCCGCGCTGCGTTATAGGTGCCTGATGGTAAGTTTGACTTCGGCTTTCTGCAGCCTAGTGACAGGCCATATTTCTTTTTTCTTTTTAAATATATTTTATTGGTTTTATAGTTTTAACAAAAAGTGTTTAAGACACACCGTGGTGTTTGGGTAAACAAAGATTCCAATATAAAATCACACAATAACAGCTCAACTTAATACATTCGCTATCATCTCTCCATTTCCCTCAAGTAACATAGTAAATGTAATATATTTCATTTCTATCCTAAATTTCTATTACTACTAAACCTGTTTATTAAAACTTTAAATCAATTTCAATTACCATAATAGTGTTTTACATCAACATATTATTATTTCAAATACCTCTTGCAAATATATTCAAGTTCTTAATCCCTCTCATCCCTTTTTTTATCACCAATCTTATTTATTTCTTCTTCCAATAATAACAAGTTTAATTTAAAAAAACCAATATTATCATATCTTATCAAATCATATTATTATACACAAACATCTCTTAAGTAATTAAACTTACACATGTATATAATTATAGTTTTCTTACTTCTAAATCTAAATCATCATCCTTAACCTTTCAGCCAATAAGTCCATTTTTTTACTTATAGTAGTCTTTAACTTAATTCATTTCCATTCATTAAAGAAAACAAATTCTATCCAATTAATTATCATACCATATCAAGACGTATTATTATACACAAAAATCTCCTAATTAATTAAGCATTTCAAAATTCCAGTCTAAATCAATCTATTATTCCAAGGAATGCATTCTTAGTCTCTATAAAGCCAAGTTTCTTTTTTCACTCCACATTTAACTTTCATATTTCCATATCAAATTTCCATAAAACAAAAAAGTCATCAAACTAAATTAAACACACATAAATATTATTGTAGATTTCTTACTTCTAAATCTAAATCATTATCCTTAAAACAATCCATAGAACCAACATTGCCTTTTAATCCATTAAAGAGTTTTTACTAATTTAAACACGCATGTATATAATTGCATTTTTCCGTTCTAGATCATTATCCTTAAAACAATCCATGAAGTCAACATTGCCTTTTACTCCATTAAAGATTTTTAAATTTGTTTTTCAATCTAATTCTGGGTTTCTTTCTATGCCACACAGGCTTCCATAAAAATGCTTCCCTTTCAACCAATAAGTCCATTCTCAATGCTTGTAATAATCTTTGAGCAAATGTACGTCTCTTTCTCTGCAGTAAACATCTTTTTTCTCTTTCAACCAATAGATCAGTTCTTATTGCTTGTAGTAGTCTTTGAGAGAGTATAGATCTCTTCCTCTGCAGTAAACGTCTTTTTCTGTTCTCTTTGCAATATAGTTGCTTTGTATTTTGAAGTCTTAGTCTTTGCTTCTTTTGGTTCTCTAAGTTGCTAAAGAGGGGATTGTCAGATGAAGTAAATTCCACTTCTATCTCTGTAAATTCCTCTTCTGGTACATTTTGATTTATGACATGATCAGTTGTAACCTGGACATCAGTTTGAGCAAATGTAGTAGAGTCTCTGGATCTTAATTCTAAAGTACAGTTTTTAAATGTAGCACAAATTTCTGCAGTGGCCTCATAAATATTTTCCAATATAAGTGCACAGTTCAGTTGTATCTGAGGTTTCTCCATTTTAATACTCTTAAAAGGAAATCTCTTTTTCTTTTTTGTAGAGGCTTTGTTTAATGTAAAAACATAAACCCCCCATAGCATCACAGGTGTACAGCTTATCTTTAATGTTTGAAGTTCATAAAAAAAAAGTAAGCAAAGTTACAATATTAAATTTTTGCCACTAGATTTCCTCAGTGAGTTAGGAAAGTCTTTTCCAAAAATCAATTCTTTTTTTCTATCTTTTAAGGTATAATATGTATATATATATATAAAAGTAGAAATAATAACGTTCTTAAAAATAAAGGAGAGAGGAAACCTTTTCCTTCTTTTTTTCCCCTTTTTCGTGTCCAGTTTATAGCCTTTCAATATTTGCAAAATGCCTTTCTTTCCCCCCCCCCCAAAAAAGCAGAAGCCGCCTTTCCAAGCCAGGTAAATAATTTCAAAAGCTCTTTACAGGCACACACACAAAGAAAAAACTGGAATAGAGAGAAAAATAAGAAAAAATTCTCACCCGGATTCACCACGGGGGCACTCAAAGCTTAGATGTTTTCTGACTTACGATCTGAAGCGGCAGGGCGATCGGCCATTTTCATGGCCGATCTTCTCCGTCGGCCCTCAGAGATTCATCCGGATAGCTGGAGGAGCTACTGCTCCTCCGCAGCCAGACCACAGCCTCCTCGACAGAAGTCGCACTCTCCAGGGTGACTTTGGACCCATATAAGGGTCCACCGACGAAGGGAAACCTAGTCGACGAGGAGAGAAGTCTCCCCGTGTGACTAGTGACGCCGCAAACAGGAACCGGAAGTCCGTGACGGGCCATATTTCTATGGCCGGTCTGACGTCTGCCGGTTTGGAGGGCTGCCCCGGATCACGCAGGAGGGCTACCACCATCCTGTGATCTAGCAGGGATCCCCTCCTTGCTTGTCACCCTTACAGGGTGACTTTCTACCCTTTCCAGGGTCCCCCAGCAGTGCAAAATCGGACATGGAAGACGGGGCTCACCTTTCAGCATCCGTGGCGGCCGCATCAGCAAACCGGAAGTCTATGGTGTTTACCTACACATCCAAAGACAAAAATACTTAACCGCATGCCTGCTTCCACAGAATTTGTCTTTAAGCATCAACTTCATTTATGAATTCCCTAGCAGGGTGTGTCCAATATATTCAGAAGGTTGTCATGAAAGGGAGGGCCCTTTTCTCTCCTCCCCCATGGCAGCTATGGACTTTTCCCCCTATCATTTTGCCTGCCAAAAATTGCAGGCTTTTAGAATACATTACTATATAAATACGGATTGTATATAAATATGTGTTTCATTTATTTAATGTAATTTCAAACAAAGATGCTCAACTGCATGAAGGGTCCCTTAAATAACATGGACAAATTAAGATATAGTTAGGAGTGGGTTTCCTTCCAATAATCATAATTAAGAATAATTACAACATGTTGGAATTGGACATGACTGACTGAAGTAAATCTAAGATCAAATGAAAACTCCTGAACGATT